AACTTTAAATCCTTCTGGGTATGGTTGAACACAAGATAGTAAGATGGACAGAGAGACGAACAACTTTAAATCCTTCTGGGTATGGAATACATTCGCATAAACTCAACGAGCTCCTGTGTCTTGTATGTGGGGTATAGGACGCGGGGCATAGGGTATAAGTTAGTTTTTGCGCACGTAAACGTCTTCTAAGAACAGCAAGTGGCAATTTTCCTTATCTACAGGTATGAGCTTTACGGTGTGGAACTGTGTACTTTGGCATATTGTAGTGGCACACAGTACTGAAGACGAATGTCAATTTAGTTGGGACAGACGGTTTGACTGAAGAATTAGCTACGATTCCCAAAACGAAGTCATTTTTTAACAATCGGATTATCCTGCGCTTAAGAAATTGCAAATCGAACCTAAAAACGATGTAATGAATACGAACGATGAAGGAGGTAAGTCTTGCTACAATAGCAGAAGAGCTTACGGTCGCAGTCGGATCAATGATAGATCTCTTCGAATTCAGATACAGTTTCAAAAATAAAAAGATCGCGATTGTCTCGCACCGAAGACCAGAATGTACCAACGGTGTCTTCCGGAGGAAGTTGTCTCTGATAAGTGAGAACTGCTTTCACCGAAGAGAAAAATGTTGCATTGTCGCATCTATCAACTTGTCTGATGGATGTAGACGGTAGACACTTAAAAGGTTGTTTGCGGCCATTTGTTGGAAGTAGCTCTATGAGCACGTTCTCCCCATACTCAGAAACTTACGTCCAGTCATAAGCGCCCTGATATATGTTGAATGATATAAATGACCACTTTACCACATATTGCGTTCTTGACGGACCAAAAGTATTTCCAAGAATGCTTGGATGGATTGCGATGCGAGAAGTGATCTGCATAGAGGACTGTAGTGAATTAGCATTAGGATGGGGATTATGTCGCCTTTGAGCGGACTACAAAGGAGAGTGCAAAAATGCGCACAACTGGAGACTTGTAATGCTTGCAGTGTCGTCAAGCTTGAGTACGGGCGAACTGAATCGATGACGATTCGTGTCTGCTAAATGCGAGATAATTTTTGTACGCATGGACTCAGCTTTGGAAAAAGCAATGTCTTCCCTATACATAACTTAAGGAAGCGACTAAATTTTTGTAATTATATCGAAGGAGGATAGTATAAACTTACCAGTTACACATGCTGGTTGACTTGGATTTTCACCACATGGTGGATCAATATCGTCAGCGAAAACTTCACCATACAACATAAAGTACGGCTGATAGTATACCTGGAGAAGAAAAGAAAAGACAAACAGAAAAACCAGTGTAAGCAAAAATAGGAAATTAGGAAAAGCAATAGCTGACAATAGAACATGAGACAGGACGACTAGTACATATGACAGGCACGAGCAAGAATGGTTTAGTTTTTTTTTTTTTTTTTTGTTTTCTTCACTTCTTTAAATTTAATACACTTAGTGAAATACTTAACATATATGATGACACATATACGTATGTATAAATATGGTTTAAGAATAGAAATGAATGGTCACTGAGTATATTCAAATGGCTGAGATAGGGCTGCATCCAATAGAGGAAAGCTATTAAGCGCACTCATGTATCCGGTATTTACATAGAAAATACTACCAGTCCAGTAGTTGTCGTCCGTTTACGTGGTAGTGTAAAGTGATATTTTTTTTACGTAATATGTAGTAGTAAACTATAACTAACTAAAGAATTGTTGAAAAATGTTACTCGAGTTTTTTTTTTTTTTTCTTCTTTTACGATAACCTCAGTTTTTCCTGTAGTATGCATAAAGGCTGCAATTGGTTAATGTGGCTTTTTCACATCGCTTAACTTTTTACCATCGTTGCCGAAAAAAAAAAAAAAAAAAAAGAGAGAAAAAAAAAATTCGAAATTTTATTTTCTTTAGCACAGACAGCACATTTATGCAGGCACAAGCACATATGTGAGATGCAGATGACGACAAAACGATTGCAATTTTTTTTCGAAGCAAATCTGTGCACTTATGATTTTCAATATTTGTTTGAGACTCAAGATTACGTGACATTTCTTGAATATCATTCAAGGTTTCCTTTAAAATTTTTTTTTTATCTATTATGGATACGGAGCGTAACACAGAAGTAGATAGATTCATGCATATAAACGTAGGTAGGATCATATTAAACTCTTCAAAGTTTATGTTTCATTTGTTTTTATGGCTAAAGATTATATGGAAATGTAAAATAATTACCAAGCATTCATAGATTGGTAATGAAATGTATATTTTGTGAAGAGTACATTTCTTGCTCTCAAAATTTTAATCCTATTATGACATTTCCCCAACTATATTACTTAGAGTTGGAATGTTTGCATGAATGAAGAAGCAATGAAGGAGTTGTCATCACCTTGTGTGGGGAACAAAAGGATAACGGTGACCTCTAGGCGGTATATAAACGTTGCAAGACATTCCAGTCATTATATCAGGGGGTTGGGGTTAAATCGACCTAGCACCGAGTATTGCGAATAACGAATACACATTGCTTTCAGCCTTTGGTATAAAAAGAACAGTTGTAAGATTACTCTTCAATTCCGCGAGGATTTCTTGCAAGTATTACTATCCACGTTATATGAAATAAATCAGAGTGGCCCGGCTTAAGGTATTTGTGACAAGGATACATTAAGCTGCCGCCGATGTATGTAATAGAAAGATTTCAGCTAAGCCCACCTTTCAGCATCACTTTCTGATTCGATTTGAGCACATAGGTACACTTGCTTGTCGGATGTTCACGCTCACACATTTTTCAGATATTTTCTAATAGAAAGTTTTCAGCTATGTCCAACTTTCAGAATCACTTTCTGATTCGATTTAAGCATATATGTTTGTTCGCCTGCATATATTCTTGGATTCGATACGGGTCGCATGTTTTTCAGATATTTCAACGGAACGTCAATTTTAGATACATTTCGAATCAAGGACGAACGAAATGGATTGGATCGGATCGTTTTTATAATCATTCCGCCATAAATCGTTTTGTTTTGAAATAGTCGGTCGTATGACAACGTAATTGCAAGCGAAAGATACCTTTGCGGTGAGAAATTTGCGAGGAATGAAACAAATTATTTCTAGATCTTCTCTCACATAACTATCGCTACAATTAGTAAACCTTTATATGGGGTGGGAGCAAAAGTATCGTACTACGTACTACTAATTTTCTACAATCATCAATACATCAAATTATCATCATGAACGAATTTTTACTACGAGCTATTAAAAATTAAACATTTCTGCCATATAAAGGTTTTCATGAAAAATATGGCAACAATGTCTTAAAGAATAATAAGATCTTTCTTCCCAACTCCTCAATTTATATAAATTTCTGATGTCGGAGATTTAAGGGTCGGCCCAGTCTGTTTTGCTGATTGTCTTTTCAAATTTTCGAATATCTCAACATATCCGCTCGATCCGATTCGATCGGAAAGTGATACACGGTAGTTTTTCTACATTTTCGTTGTTCGGTCCATAAGCAGGCTTTGCCAACTTCTGCATAAAGAACGATACGATATATTTGCGAAAATGAAGTGACATTGCAGTAATTCATGGTAAAAATTTTGCTAATTACCACCGTATACGAGAATCGATTGCCAACTTGGTTAGTGATCAAAAAACCGAGCTTGCCTGAGGACAGAGAATTATATTTTCCCTTGAATTGAACGACTTGATTGAGATGAGTAAAGCTTTTAAAGAATAGAATTGAATGCATAAGTGAAAAACTATCGCGGTCATGGAGGCTGCTTTAGGTAGATCCTAACTTCTGAGTGACTCCTATAGATCGATATGTGTGATGAAGTTAGAGTTTTAAAAGAATATGTTTTTTAAAAGAAATTTTTCCAATTTTTCTTCTTTATATCTCTTCCGTACAGGTATTGAATTGTGGAAAGGTGAAAAGTAAAAGATTTTTGCTTCGAAGAGAAGTTGCAATTTTTGTTGTTGTTGTTGTTCTTCTTCTTCTTCTTCTTGTTATGAATTGTATGTAAGAAAATAATAGAGTACATACACGCATCTACAGGTGAAGATAAATTGTTTTAGTATTGTTGTTGTTATATTTACATGCATTATGAAAACGAAAAGATAAAAACAAATATGAAAAGGCAATAAAAGATTTTAAAAAAAAGAAAGAAAAAAAAAAGGAATTAAACAGAAAGAGTAAGCAAGTAGATGAAAAACGCTTGGGAAAGAAAAAAAAGTTAAATAATTTAAGTTTTTTAATAGCAATAAAAGGTAAACAAGTAAAGTTGTCGCTGTGCATTCTAATACAAAATGATTCTTGAGCGAACATTTTGGAGAAGAAGAGAGTAAGAAAATAAAGCGGCGGAAGATATATATGTATATACACACATATATATATAGGAGGAGCACATACATAAAATGCAAACATTTTACAAATTTGTTTCAATATTCAACATCGATATACACAACATCGAGTCTCACGCGTGTTCAATACAATTTCGTTTACATTGCTTTCAATGCCGGTTAAATTATTTAATAATTCAGATTTTTGTAATAATTGTCCCGATGTTGTGGTATGTGGTGTTGTTGTTGTTGTTGTTGTAGTTGTTGTTGTTGTTGTTGTGTGATGATGCATTGTTGCTGAGCCACGGTGCGAGGCCGATGTCAGTATGCTTTTAAGATTACCGCCCGCACCTGAGGACGACGACGACGAGCGTGCATTGTGCGAGCGACTGCTGTGACTAAGTACTCCAAGAAATCCCGGTGCCAATATAGACCCGGCGATGACCTATTTAGTGCACAATATTATAATGCATATGATAAAAATTTTGTTGTGCGCGCGTGTGTGCGTTTTGTCAATTTTAATTTTTGCGCAATTAACAACAATCGCATATGTTTGTTTCGCAATGTTTAATAAATTGTACATGGCAAGTAAATGCGATTGAAAACGACATTTTTTTTTTTATTTTTTTTTTTTTTGTGGTTTATTTTTTGATACATAGAAAAAAAAGAGAGAAAAAATGCAAAAGACAAAATACACAAATGTAATTAATTAACAATTAATTAATACAATTTTCACTGTTAAGATGTTTCATCAAATTTCATTAATTTACGTAAACACTACAACAATATGATTGATGTATGTACTCCATTACTACGATATTACAAATTTATATAATAGCTAAAGAAAATAAAAACTATTATTGCAGCACTCTTATCATTTGTTTTTTTTCTAGGAACAAAATACGCTTTGGAGATGAATCAATTTCTACGACTTCTTCATATTATGCATACACACAAGATTAGTACTCACCAAATGTTCAAGATTTCAAAAGGTATACATAATATTGAGATTAATTTTTCAATACAAATGTCGATCCATATAGTGGACAGACAGTATAAAAAAGTATCTTAATAAGACAACAAGACAATGCAGCTTTACAGTGCGTTTGGAAGCTGCTTACATACTTTACCTATCGCGCTTGCTTTACCTATTACTTGCCTATAACATTGGCAGCATTTTTCTCGCAGGCTGTATACCGAAAAATTCTTAAGCAAAGAGCTTTCTTTTTTCGTTGCCATCTACCTAGGAATTCAAAATCCATCCAACATAGCAATAGTGAATATTTTCGTTATATGCTTTAAATTTTATTTTATTACCTATTATTTCCTGGTGCCTAGATTGTGAAAAACTTTTCAAAAATTCACTTTCAAATTTTTTAGTGCTGCTCTTGATCACTTTTAAGCTTTTTTGAGCAAAAAGTACATCAAACCTATTTTGAGTCCCGTCATAAATTATGTACGCTCTGACTTTCCATTACTGATTAAAGGAATATCTTATGAGGACCAAAATTGTTTCTGAGTCCCATTCCACATCTAAGTTAAAGCATATTTTATTTTTATACCCTATTCCACTTTCGGTGCAGGGTATATTAAATTAGTGCGGTCGTATGTAGCGCCCAGAAGGTCTTAAAAAAGATCCCCACCTTTTATTATAACGATCGTTTTAGAGTCATTTTCTAAATCGAGAGCCATTTTCTAAAGCCTGTCTGTCCGTCTGTCCATGTCAATTTGTGTTTAAGGTACAGGTTGCAATTTTTGAGATATTTTGATGCAACTTGGTACAGTGACGTGTTTTGACCCAAGGACGAACGCTATTGAAAATGGTTAGAATCGATTCCCTTTTCCGATCATTCCACGTATAACGACCCATTCTGAAAAGTCGTTATACGGAAACAAATTTTAATTTTCAAAATTTCTCGGCAGAAGTGACTAAGTGGTAGTGGATATGAAAACTTTGCATCGGCTGAGCAATTTTAGAACCCCTTCTCATTTAATGAAAATTTAATTTCAAGCGACAAAAAGGTATAATTTTCAATGCTTCATGATGAAAATTATGTTATAATAGTAATTAAACGTAAAAAAATTAACTGTACCAAATTTGGATCATCTCGGCCTATTTTTTGGAACCTACTCTAACAAGAATTTTCAGGAAAATTGATCCTTTGTACAGCAGAAAGCTCAAAGTTTTATTATGTGATGATGAAAACTGACCCATAATAGTAATTTCATAGAAAACTAGGAATTGTGTTAGACTGTTAGACTGTGCTGTTTAATGGTCGGCCTTGTCCGACCACAATGTTCTTACTTGTTTTATTATGCATACTGGGCACAATATAAATAATGGTAGGCGAAACGTGGGCAAACCTATGGCGATAATGAGCAAAGTTTCACAATCACCCTGTTAAACGCCGTTCTGTCAACCCTTTAATTCATTGTCAATGTCAAAGAGCCTTCTGAATAGATATCATAAATCGTCCGTTAACATAGAGATCATATGCTTCTAGAAGTTTAGTGTGAGTTCCTGCCGTGAACGTTTAAGTCCGCGATGACATACAAATTTGACAAAATTCATACCCATCGCCTCGAATATCATTAGTCTCCAAATGTGACATGAACACACTGCCTTCCTTTGCGGGAACATTAGGTAGAATAATAGATAATTTTCGATAATTTTAAATAAGAAATATCTAATAACAACAACAAGTGGCCAAGAAAATTATAAGCCACAGTCCAATTTAGTGAAATGAAAGAGAAAATTAATTTATTCATCTTCCATTTAGTCTACCGCATAGTTTAGTAGATAAGAAGTCCGTGCACTTTCACTTCAATTTACAAATAGACCATGCCTTAGTGGCGATTAATCATGCATTCTCCATACTGTGCTCGCACGCTATCCGCCTTTCCACGTATCTTTTTCGTTGTCGTTACACGTGTGGCGGTCATCCTCTGTCTGGTTGGCCATAAAATAAAATGATATGGAGCTGAAGCTGCGTCGTCCTTCAACTCGGTTCGCTTAAAATAATAGTGCGGGCAGCTACAATAGAAACAGGGCAATTGAATCCCTGTAAATTTTTTTTTTTTTTTATTTGTATTCCTGGCACCAGGCAAACTTCGAGAACTAAAGACGAACTAAGTCGACATAGGTACATAGTCAGCGATTTTCTAAATTATTTTACTTTTTTTTAAATTCCATTCATTTTTACTCGTACGTAACTGTGTGCTGCCGTTTAATGAGGAAATATGAAGAGATTCATTTAGTAACGCCTTCAATAAGAGAAATATATGTACATACGCACATATACAGGGTCATTCATTTTGTGGTTCCGAAAGCAGACATCAATAAAGCACACTTGCAATTGAGATTTGGAAAAAAAATTTTTTTTTGTCGGTATCTTGTTTGGATCTGGCTATCATACATATATACATAGTTGTCCGACACAGGGAAACTTGAAACTTTTTGGGAAAACGATATGTTCCTAAAGGACTTTTACCTGTACATATATAACTTTTGGTGTTTGTGGGCTGGAAATGTAACTTTTGAACATGAAGGCTAGAGAAACATGATAACTATTTTTTTGTGGCAAAATTTAGATGATATCGACTTGAACAATATACCCATTCAGTAAAATGGTCCAGCCTACCATATATTTTGTAAGAAAAAAAAAATAAATAAATGAATTGGGAGAAAAGTTCAATGATCGTGTAAATCACCAAAAGAGTCTGCATTGGGCTTTTCACTTTTGGGGATTAGGATGGGGCATCCACTAAACCACAAACTCTTAGTGACTTTATTTGCTTGCCAAAATTATTCATGCCATTGATGGAGTAAGAACAGATTTATGTGGAAAAGTGACCATTATTGCAAAAGTCGGGAAGCGATTTTTAAATGAATATGTTATGAACGAATATCTAAAATACAAGAAAATTCATCTTGTTATCGTTGCCCGTTTAGATGTTGCTACAAATTAAAAAAACAAAACACATTTATTTGGTGATGAACTTTTATATGTACATGTATATATATATACGTATACGCACACACATATGCGCGTTTACATCCAATCAAGGACAAGCACACAAATCAATAAACTAAACACTTACATCACATTGATTGACTTAAGAGTGTACTTACTTCTCTTATTAAACGCCACGTCGGCTCCATATTTGGATATAGTATAGCCTGACGACTTACGCCGAAACTCATTAAAACGACTGCTAATAGCACGACAAAGTAAATCATATTTTTAACCATCTTTCCCATCATTGTAACCAAAGGACCTGCAAAATTAAATGTAAACATTGGCATTTTAATTAAGTCGGTACTGATTAATCAATTCTAATATCTCTTGTATTGCTTAAGCAGTTCATTATACACACCCAAATATTTGTTGACACCCAATATATTCAATATACGCAGATACCAATAAATACTGTCCACACAATAAATTACACGTCCAATATCCATTGTATTTGGGCGAAAACGAAACGAAAGACCAATGAAAAATAATATTATGGCTGCGCCGTCACAAGGATTCCACATATTCCAAGCCCAAACAGAAAATTTATGTCTACCATGAAAAGTAAATTAACTTCTTTTATATAAGCAGAGACTAAAATAAAGAGAGAGAGAGAGAGAGAGAGAGAGAGAGAGAGAGAGAGACAGAGACAGAGAGAGAGAGAGAGAGAGAGCGAGATGGATAACATACGTTATGGCGACCGGTTCAGATGAAATAATTTCACGTATTTTCTCAAAACCCAAGGTTGCGATATATGCGATAGAATAAATTTCTTGCCAACGTGGTGTTGCTTCCATTTTAACCAACACCGTATAGGTAAACATGACGAGAAAAAACATATAAGCAATCTATAATAAAATAAGTGTAAACAAGGACATACGCATACAATAGCATGCAAGTGTATCTCTCATATGCAACTAAATGTTCATATTCGATTTGGATCGAATTTTTTTTTTTTTTTTTTTTGGTATCATCAATGAGAAGGAAACTCCACGTAACTGTAATATTAGATACTTGCAAGAATTTTGATCAGCGACTACTATAAGTAAAAATGCTAACGAATTGGAAAATACCAGTGTACACAAAGTTTGGTTGAATTGGATTAATTTTGATCCTCTTCTATATAAAATAACAATTTTCCACTTAATATTTTTTGTTTTATTCAGCGTACGTTGATGCTAATCAAGGAACTCTCAAAAATTCCATTTTCAACATTCATTTTTGTTGTTGTTCGACACGAAATCCATCAAATATATTCAAAAGCTTATAGTGATGCTGCACCGTCATATTTCAATTACCGGGTAAGTAGTAGCGATTTTGATGTCAACGACAAAAAACGGCTTCGAGAACCAAAAAAGAATTCAAAGACCGTGAACTGCAAGACTAATAGGCCGAAAACCCAGCACGAATTCTGGAAGAACTTTCGAACAGTTCAACAGTTGATTCATCAACTGTTTCTACACGTTTACAGTCGATGGGAGACGTCCAAAAGGAGGGGAAAGGGCTACCTCGAAAATTGACTAAAAAGGTCATTTTGGCCACTTGTTGCAAGAGTTGTGCAAGATACGCTGCTTGAATGGGAATTTCTACCACACCCAACGTACTCGCGAGATATAGCGCCTCCTAATTAGCACTTACTCAGCTCGGTACAGCATCGCTTGGCTGGCAAGCAAGTTCGCGAAGATGAAGAAGTGCGAAATGGTTCGGTGGGTGGTAGATCGCTGCCAAACCGCTATAAGTTCTTTCAACATGACGTCGCCATTTTATCAAAAATATTGTAAAACGTTGTTGTAGAAAATGATGGAAACTATTTTGATTAATAGACATTGAACCAATTTTCCTCAATAAATGCCTTTTTCAAGTGAAAAAATGATCAAAACTTTTGCAAATACCTAATAGTTTTTTAAAAGATAGGTTGGCGCAATATCGCGCGGTAAGTAATATAATATCGTATTACGTTTGAGATCATTTGGAGTGTTGTCCTAATGTAAGGCGGAGGCGGTCTCAAAAAAGTGATCGAAAAGAATTGATTCGAAGATGACCACAACCTAGAGGGTGTTTTGGCTTTACCGACTGAGCTACGGGTACATTGACTTGGTGGCCGCAATTATGACCTGCTCGCCTACTCATGCGGATGAACAGAGAAGTAAAGTTCAAGTTCAACTTTTTATTATAAAGAAAAAAAAAAAAAAAACTTAGTTGCATAAGCTGAGATCACTTTGCTCAATACGCAGATAAAAATGCAGTAAATGTGTTTTATGAAATCTTACCGAATCTGCCCAAAATTTCGTGATCGGCGCTGTATAAAATTCATAGAATTTCTTTTTCAGACGTAGCGGTTGATGTTGTTTCACTTCGTATTCGGTCATATGAAAAAAATCCCGGAACTGTGATGGATCGGAATCGGTTAATGAAACCTAAGTTTTTTTTTTTTTTTTTTTTTTTTTTTTTTTTTTTTTGGGTGAGCGCAGAATATAAAATAATTGAAAAACAATAATAATTTAATTTTTTTGCTTTAAATTTAAATTAAATTAAATTTATTGATAATAATTAATTAACTTCGATTATTAAAGAGATTTTGTATTATTTACAAAAGTGAAGAATATGTTAAAAAAAATGTGAATAAAAATTCAATAATGTAGCCATTCCGCGCGTATTTAAAAATGCTCTCAGAATACAAACAAACAAAAAAAAAAAAAAATAATTTTAATTACATTTCAATGAAACATTGAAAAGCAGGAGTAAGTTTAACAACATACTTACATGCTGTTTGTCTACATAAACTAGATTACCGTGTAGATTACCAATGTAAACAAATACTATGAAAATTGCATATTTATATATATATATATATATATATACAAAAAAAAAAAATAGAAAATTAAAATTAAAATGTAGATGCATCACTAAGCCGTTGTCGAAAACGTGCACAAACGAGCTTCAGTTAAAGTGCACTTAGAAGAATTGCATAAATATGATGAAAAAACTGAACTAAACCGATGGGGGGCGGATGAGGGGGGGGGCTATGTAGGCGAAAACTCAAAAACACTTCTCTTACTAATATATATCTATATATGCATTTATATATGTTATGAAATTCTAGCATGTGGGTGCATATTTCGAAACCAGTGGTCATCTTCCTAGAATTTATATCGTCATGCATACTTTTGCGTAAAGGAAAAGGAAAACAAACAAAAAATCAATATGTAAAGTACCTTTAAAATCAAGTTCAACCGTCAGACAGTGTGGAAGAAAAGGTTGTGTGAGGGTAGTAACGTGTCTCTTGCTTTCATATTCAAACAATAATGATAATATTTTACCTTCTTCTTCTTCTTCTTCTTCACGGTCATAGATCAATTTGAAGAAAACAAAGTTCAGCTTTTCAACATTAATTTTCTTCTTCTTTTTTTTCCTAACGTGATCTAACCTCATTTTAGTTTTTCGCAATTAAATATCGCCCTGGGCCACTTGATATGTTCGATTTAATCAATTTAATCATATACGCTACAGTTAGTATGTATCAGCGAACAACAATGTTTCCGTGTGAATATTTATATATATCAAGATACAAGTTTAACCATCAGTACGTTTGGCGATCGCTTCTGCTAAAGTCGCTGCCGAATACTTGTGAAAAGTGCTTTAGACAATCAATCGTTAAGTGTCAAGACAGACACATATGATAAAACTTGGATATAAGCCCATGAGCGCCAATGACAGCAATCGAGGGTAAGGGTCTAGCTAAAACAATCCAAGTAACATTACTTTTGATATCCGCCTGAGTGGCCGAGTAGGCAAGAGTCTCGACTAGTAACTCAATAGTCGTGGGTTCAAACCTCAAGTGCGGTAGAATTTTTAATAAAAAGCCGATAGCCCTAGATGCTAGTGCTTTAAGACTTTAGTCTTAGAATTTATTCTCTGACTAAATTTATAATAATAATAATAATAACATTACTTTTGAAAAGTCGAAAGGCAGTGCAAAAAAGTTCATCCAAGTATACTAATGTATATTTGTCGGGAGTAACCAATCAGGCCCGACTTTTATTTCGACTTCTTCTTAATAAGAATTGAAATTCTTACAACTCGCCATAAAAACTGAATCGAGAGGCTGATCATGTGATTTAATGCTTATTGAAAGCGTACAGCAGAGGTCTTAGGTTCTTGTGGGTTCACGTACCCTCACGTTCCTCTCTTACAAACAACGCAGGCGTAATGTTGCCTGCATTGTGTTTACGTATATAGTATTTTCCGGATTATAAGAAGGGTTCACGTGCTTTCACGGTCAGGCAAGCAAGTAAGGGGGCTTGCGATTACGTTTACGTATACCGTATTCTCCAGACTATAAGACGCACTTCAAATTTGAAAAATGATTTTTAGAAGAATACATTTTTATGTTCATTTTGGTTCAAAATTTTTTTTTGTTTACATAACTAATACTAGCAATATTTAGTTCATCTTCAGTCTCGGTAATATCACACGTCTCCGTTCGCATTACTTTCATGCGAACTATTGCTGTTGTACCTCGCGTAACTCAAATTTAGAGAGAGATTTATTGAAAAAAATCTTTGAATTTTCCCCTCAGACCATAAAACGCATCCAAAATTTGAATCCATTTTTCTTTGTCAGAAGGTGCGTCTTATATAGTCTAAAAGATATGGTACATAAAAAAAAAAGTAAATAAATTCTTTATCTAATAAAGCACAATGCATAGCGCCGTGATTGCTTGACTATTGTGCTCTGCTTACCTTTTCGGGCCATGAAGCATATTCTAGCTCCTACGTATAAGGCAAATGTTGCCTTTTCTACGTTTCTGACCATCATACCGGGTGATTATTAAAAAAAAATCATGGAAGACAAACTAGATTAGCAATGATTTTCTAAGCCCCAGACAAGGCTGATTAAAATGTGAATCGTCTTTTAAAGCTATAAGGCTGTAAATGCTTACCTTAGTCTAACTTTTGAATTGAATAGTAGTAACCAGACTAAAAATGTATAAGAAAATGCCTCCTTTGAATGTAATTTTTCGGGAATGGATCAAAAGCGTCCTTACATTAACACAAACGTGATTAATATAAAATTTACAAATTTTTGTAAACACTTATAAGCTTTTGATATATAAATGAGAAAGAAAAATTTTTTTTTTTTTTTTTTTTTTTTTTTTTATAACAACTAATACCATTATACCCCTATACCCCTATACAAAACCTATATTGTTTTAAATTTTAATCTTTTGCCACAATATTCGCTAGAGAATTTCGGAGGCGGAGATAAGCACGTTTCCATAGACTGTGAATAGAATGACCAAATTAGTAAATCTTTACCTTCCAGTGAGAAAAAACAAAGAAATTAAAAGCAGTGTATGAAGAGAGAATGGAGAAAAGGAAAATTAAGCGCAACTTGATTACAATAGCAACACTGAGGCGACAACGCTTTTCCAAAACAAAAGGTAAGTAAGTAAGTAATTTTTTTTATGAATTCATGTAATCGCTGAAATATAAAAGTAATGAGTTTTTGAAAACAAACAGACATACATAGAAAAGCGTTTGTATTGTAGAAAAGGTGCAAATGTGATAGATAAGAAAGAGAAATGAGAAGAGAAACAAATATTATTTAAACTAACTTTGGATGGGGGTTCTTCTGCTCCTGCAGTGAGATTAACCTGAAATTATTCATTACATTGTGATACAAACGCACAAACACTTTAATATACGAATGACAATTTAATTATGTCAACTAAAAGTTGTTACGGTGTCTGGATGCCTGGGAGTTTAGTGAATGATATCAAAATCAATTTCAATTATGAGAAAAGAGATAGATAGATAAACAGATAGATAGATAGATAGATAGATATGATTCGACAATATTTTGATTGTTTGCTGAATTGCTTCAATAATATAATAATTTAAATTCTTTTTGTCAAATGATATCCAAAGGATCAATGTTGTAAGAATAGTGAGTAAGTAGGTAAGTAAGTAAGTAAGTAAGTAACTAACCAACTAAGTGAGTAAGTGAGTGAGTGAGTGTGTGTGTGTGGATTTGTAACTAAACTAATTACTATTATGCTTTCCTTGCATTCTTTTATAATAAAGTTTTTATTTTAAAATTTTTAATTTTTTCGTTTTTTTTTATTTATTTATTTATTTATTTATGCTTATGAGAGCGATTAGAAGGAAGATTGTGTAATCAATCTTATGTATGTATTCATACTTAAAACTATACATACATATGTACATTTGTAATTATCGATTTACGTTTTTATACATACGTACATATATACATACATACATATATATACAGCGTTTGCTGTACGGTAGTAGTGTCAAAAACTACTGATGATATATGATTCTTTTTTTGTTTAATAGGAAATTTTTAAATTACAACTATAATAATTTGTTTTTATTGATGATTTTTTTTTTTTTGCTGCAATTATTACTTTAAAGTGCGTGTACGTTTATGTAGATCAAAATTTTACTCACTTTGCCATTTTCATGTACTTTGGTATCGCGCCGTGAATTTTTTTCCGGCAAAATTCCCTAAATGGTTTAAATACTTTGTGGACACTAAATTAAAAAAAAAAAAAAAAAAAAAAAAAAACAAAAAAAAAAACACATGTCATTAATTAGCAGGACAAATAAAAGCTATCGTATGCAATTCTTAATTAAGAAAACACAACAAAAATCAAAAAAAAAAAAAAAAAGAAAACGAAAACATTTTTACTACATGTGTTTCTTTTACTGCGTTCTTTATTGGCGATTGATTGATTGATTGATTGTGAAATTATTATTAATTAACATTATGTGTTTAATCATTGCTACAACAATTGATTGCCTATAAAAATTATAATTGTACAACAACAAAAAAAAAGCCCAAAAAAAAGAGAAAAGTGTATTGTATGTGTATGTAGAAAGGATTGAAATACAATTTTTGATTATTTTAGATATGTCAGTGTTGAGAGGATGGGCTGCCCGCAGGTCGCAGCCCGCAGCAGACTTATTTAGATCCGAACAGATTAGTTGTGTTTGTGTTTGCATTTCTAGAAGCACTATTAGAGAAGAACAATAGCGAAGGTGTGGGCAAGCCCATCGGCAATCGAACTTCGGTACAGTTACAAATCCACATAAGAACTAGACGGGGAAAGAATTAAAGAAGATTGTATTGCGAAGGCAAGCAAAAGCACGAAGGGGTTTAAAGTGACTTGACCTTACTCAAGTGCTAGCTTAGAATTTAGTATGAACGTGGCCAGCCACCGCTACTGATGGCCGAAGGAACAGTGGTCTATAGCGACTACGATAATACGAAGCCCGTGAATGCAATCCAACTTCCACCTCGATACTTTTCGTAACATACCAAGCGTTTTCAGATGAACGACGGGAGGAAACAATTAAAGAAAACCTTATTGCGAAGGCAAGAAGAAGCACGAAGAGGTTTAAGGTTTACTCAAGTTCTAGCTTAGAATTTAGTGTGAAAGCGGTCAGCCAGGACTCCTGATAATCGAAGGAACAGTAGCCTATAGGAAGCACGTCAATACAATCCACTTCACACCTCGATATTTTTCGTAACATAGCAAGTGATTTCAGATGATCATCTTTCCTGCTTTTATCTAAAATCAATTGTATACGCAAAGTGGTGTGAGCGGAGGCAGTGCATAGGTTTTGCATTACCTCGGAATGCTCAGCATTGTCTTTCTTTTTAAGTTGATATGTGGACAAGAAGGAGAGACAAAGTTGTTTATCACCGCTGGTCAGAATTTTTATGGCCACTTAGCTCTTAGTGCATAGACAACCTTACATCGAAGGCAGTGCGATGCAAAAATACAGTGTCCCACTGATTTGATTGGTGAGATCGCATTTTTAAAAACAATGTTGATATGGCAGCCAATAGTGGCGCCAGTAGCCGATAGGCTGGGCGGAGTTATATGTTCGACACTATGACCTGTTCATTCAATTCTCATTGTAGAATGTGCGAGTAGGGCTTTAGTAGGCGGGGTTTTTAAGACAATTATTTTTTAAACAAACGAAGGCAGCACATATTCGAACGGCTTTGTTCGGATTTACACTATCGCAGCTTACGCTCTGTTTGGTTAAACAAGGAAATGGAAAGTGCAAGCATTGGATGGGCGCGGCCGTTTGCTTCCATTTCCCATTACGTACAGTAGCACCACCTAAAAAGTATACGCACAGAATTATATCGTTGTATCTTTTTGTAAATATCAGCAAAGCAGAACCGCCTTTTTTTTTTTGTATTTTGAAAACCTAACTGTTTTCGATTTATATTGGCCAGCAGATGTATGAATGCTTCTGCTAAATAAGAAGCCGGTACCCTAATTACTGCAACCGGCAGAATGTTTATTTCAGACAGACATAAAGACGTGAACAGGCATTCGGAATTTCATACTAATTCGATCAGGCTGGGTCATGGGATGTTGTTCAGATATGTATATACCTTTCTAGTAAGTTGGTTTGGGCGCTGCAGTCGTTTTGATAAACAAAGTATATCTCCCGAAAGTGGATATAAAAATTTGAGACTAAGTTTGGTTTTTTAGGCATCGGACGGACAGACAAACATATCAGTGTAAATTAATTTCGCAATACGTGCTGAATAGCAATGCATATGCTTGAAGGCCGATACATATTTTTATTCGTCAAATCTATTTGTCAGGCTCCCTATGCATAAGATATTTAATTAATGGAGGGTAAGGCTTATTTGGGGCGATTTTGGTGGTGATAGTAATTGAAATTAGATTTTATTCATAGGTTACGGTATTTTCCAAGACATATCAAAAATTTGGAGTTAGCTAATGTCTTCGAAAATGGTTAAAACTCGATTTGTACATTGCCTCCCTTCAGTGTTTACATCGTCACGGTTCATAACAATTAGTAGCGATACTTTGTTTTGCATGTGCCTTGTTTTGTATGCCCTTCCCATTATTTTTTCATTTTAATACTTATATAAAATCTAGCTTAGCAAAGACATTTTTTGCAAAGACACGCACCTTAAAATATCCGGGTTATTTTGTTGAGCTATCTTCCCTTCGGTAAAAAAGTGGTTGATGCTTTTCTTCAAGTCGTTTTTCGTGTTCTTTTAAAAGCAAAACCATATCGCGCTCATCACAAGGCAATATTTGCGGAATTCAAAGGTATTCTAAATTTTTTTGATTCAAAGCCGCTTTCAAACTTTAAAGCTTGTATAATTTCCAACTTGTTACATGGAAGGATAAGGATGTACTGTATTCATCCTTTCGTTGATAACATTCAGAAATATGAGCATATAATAATATAAATTTTTGATCAGTCCTGAAATCCCTATTTCGATTTAACCATGTTGATTGCCGCTGAAGTGTTTACAATAGCGAAAGTCAATTTACAAATCTAAAGAGAAAGAGGCTTTTGTGACTAGTGCTCAAACATGAGGCCGTCAAGTGAATTTCGGATATTCATGCAATAATTCATTCACTGATTCTTTGGAAGGAGTAAACTAAATATTTTAAATGAATAAGGAACCGATGGACCAAATAGCTAAAGACAAAATGCCCACAATGCAAGAGAAGGCGAAGAAAATCTTCTCAACAAAACGTTCGACCGTATGGTTTCAAATGCTTGAGTGACCGATGAGTTATCAGTTTTTCAATTGGAGAACTGAACTAATATTTGAAAAAGAAATAGGGTAGAGAATAGGGCCAAGGCTGGTTGCACAGAACTATGATTAAGACTAATACGATACTGCTGCCCACTCTTCTTATAACTATACACACTTTTAACAACATATGCTTGTGTTCACTTTACAAAATTTGGGAAAACTATTAAAACTTTTGTACTTAAAAGATAAGAGCTTGGCCAAGCACTTTGAACACTTTGATATTTTCGGCAATTATTTTGCTCCAATAACTGTTACGTCCAATTAGAGAATGGTAAGGGGTTATGCATCATTTTTGTTTTAGATTGAAATAAATTTGCGGCCAGAAGAGTAATATCCCTTTGTTCGTGTTGTTTATTATTATTTCATCAAATGCTATGAAAAGTACTAACAATAAAGTATATAAAGGAGCTTTGAGTAATGAAAATTTTGTATTTTGAAACGAAATTCAATTCCAAACACTTTACAGTAATATAATGCAACAATACCTGTTAAACGCATTGAATGAACTTTGTACGTGTACGCGAAACATTAACCTATCGTTACTCATATGAGCCACACTTGAAACGGTATATCCAAGTCTCGAGTGGCGAGCAAATAAAATTCAACAAGAACAAGAACAAGAACAAAATTTCATATATAAAATTTGAAAGAATTGTTGTCCATTGAACAATAAAAACAACAACAATTGGCCAAATCATGTGTGAGTCCAGTATGAAAGAAATTTTGTTTGTGCATAAATATTAGTGTTGTTGGTTTCCTATTAATGCGTTAAGAGAATGTAAGTGATTAAATGGTATAAATAGAAACTGAAAGCATATTTGTTTATGTGTATATGTATTGTACATTTTACACTAGTTACGTACAAATTTGTTACTACGCTTAACTATCAACTAAAAGCTTAAATAATTATTGTTGTTGTTGGAAACTTACATTTGTAGAATTCGTGTAACTATTACTTGGCGATGGAGGGGATTTTTCAACTTGTAACAGTTTACACTTTCAGATGATGAAGGAAGTGGAGAGATTGCAGGTTAAAGAAAAAAAATAAATAAACACAGAGAGAGAACACAAAACACACATTCACAAAAAAAAAGAAATAAAAAAATAAAAAAAAAAAAAGAAGAAAAACTCAAATTAAAGGCGAATACTTTTTCATTGCTTTTCGATTTAATTATGAAACAACAAAACTCAATTTGAAGGATAATATTTATTTCGTTAGGCAGTTGGATATAAATAATGTAAATAAATCAACACTCACATATGAATATTTCACTATTTTAACCTTAAATGTTTCTTCTCTCTTTCTCATTAAGAAGAAAAACTATTTTATATAAAAAATATTTAAAAAAAAAATAAAAACACTTAGCACAACATATGTAAAGAAATTTTTTTTTTTTTTTTTTTTTTTGGTGCTCTTGCGGACATCACACACACAGACAGACAAATAGACAAACGTGCTTGAACTGATTTACAAATTAAAGCTGGTCGGGGAGTAAAACTATCCTTTATGGGATCTGTGAAGATACCTTTTGAGCGTCGCAAATGTTTCGACAAAGTGAGTAAACCACTTGTGTTTTGGGTAAAAAACGACGTTATAGAGTAGAAAATTATATATAAAATTTTTTTGAATTTCGAATTATAACAAAACTGAAAATATCATCGCGTTTTGGTCAATGGGTGACGCTGTGTTTCAAATTTTCAGCAGATCTTTGTATAAGTTCCTTCCAAAATTGGCCTAAGAGGGTTACCTATCATTTTGTAAATTAATGATGGAATAGTCGCCTTTTCAGGCAAGAATGACATCTAAAATATTTTCTAGCAGCTGGTATTTTTTAAGGAGATGAAGAGTTCGCAGTTTTGCATGAGATATAACTCATCATCTTATCATTTAAACATCTTTTCTCTCTTCTTTTTTCCTTAATTGTGTTTTTCGAGCAATTTTTTTTTTTTTGTTTGATTTGTCTACGACTCAACTAACACTAAGTTAAAATTAGACTAAGATTGAATTGCGAGGAATAATAGAAAGTCGTCAGTAATTCTTCTGTACCGATAAGACTGCAAGTCTCTCTCTTACAGTGTAGTGTTTAGCAGTTATAAACCACTACACCGTAACTGCATAAATGTCAATCCAGCGTAAACAATAATCGCTTGTCTTCACACGAGAACTCTGAAAAACTCTTCTAAACCTAATAAAAAAAAGAAGAAAAAAAAAGAGGAAATCATTGTAGTCGGGCCAGGCCGACTCTTAAATACCCCACACTACATCGTCTATCACAATTCTTATATTTGCCATAGAACACAAAAATTATACTCGGTTTTTATAGGAACTTACTACTATGGGACTGTGTATTAAAAATTAGTTTTCTTCGCAAATAAAGATTCACTTTCCGTTCAAAAATTGTGATACGCATTCAATATCCAGCATAGTTAGTTTTTATATAATTTATTAAGACTTTCCTGCCATAAAAAACAAAAATTTCTGTAAAAATCCTTATATAAGGTGGACCTCAAAAATAGCCCCAGGTAGTCCAGTAAACCCTTTATGTTATATTACTATTATGATCTGATCTTCATCATTACACCTTTTTGTCATTTGACTTTAGTTTTCTTTATATGGGGGAGGGTTGAAAAACCATTTTCAATAGCGTTCATCTTGGAGTTAAAACAGTTTCATTAAAATATCTGAAAAATGGCAACCTGTGCCTTGAACATCAATTTACATGGGCGGACTTCAGACGGACAGACGGGCTTTGATTAATTCAAATTATGATTCTGAATCGATCGATATAATCGGAAAGGTGGATTTGTCTCAAGTCCTTCTGCGCGTCGCATACGTCTGCACTAACTTAATATACCTTATACCATAAGTAGTGTAGGGTATTAAAAAACGTTTTGCGCATGTGTAGTGTGCGACACGGCACAGAAGACTATAAAGTATCTATCATCAATGCCTCAAGTATAATGATGAAATCAATCTTCTTCAGAAGAATGCTCATGTACAGCAATTTACCACCAGATTAAGAAGAAGTCTCGTCCGCTTTACCAAAACGCCCTTACAGCTACTAGAAGTTAAAATGCTTCGAAGTCTAGAGATTCTGTAGATAATAGCAGCATGTACTCGAAGATTCTCTTCACTGACGAAGAAGTAAAAAACAGCACTTTCGAATTAATAAACAGCCTTAACAACTATGGGATTAAGGCTGACCAATTCGAGCTCGTAACAAGTTTAGCAGCAAATTTTAGAGGCATCAGAAACGAAAGCCTTGTATTATTTCGACTTCTTGTTGACGGCAACGTTCATACTTGTTTGGTGTCCGAAACACAGCTTAAGCCTGTAAAATCCCTAAGCCATTACAGAGAGAATTCTAGAGAAAGAGGCGTAACAGCAGTCGTCAGGAAAAATTCGCCTCATATGTTAGGCAAACTTGTTAGCCCTAGTGTCATTCAAAACAAACGAATAAGGAAAGGATAGGTGTCCAATCAACCACGCGCCGTATATGTATGCATTCGTGTTATTTCTCAGGGGATTGGTCCGTAGGTATGCCAGTCTCCGTTTGGCGTGTGATATTTATAGATTTACATGCCAACAGATTTATATCCTCCTCGATGATTTTAACTGGAATGGGATTGTGCCCGGAATGGGATTGTGCTACGACTAATGCATATGGAAATGTTTGAATTGAAAAGTTGACCGCATACGATACCAATATAGCGTATCTAAGTGACCAGGCATACGTATATTCTAAGGCAAACTGAAAAATGTCTTATGCATAAACGATAAGTGATTTATGCTCTGATCATCTGAACATGCCACTTCAGTTCGTATGCATAAGTCTGGGACAACGGACTATGGGAGTAACACGATCACCAGTTCCCTGGCTTCTAGTTCCAATTCTAATAAGAAATTTTTAACAAACCCCAACAAAAAGATTAAATACTAATATGCTATAATATATAGTAGGCGTGGTCAATTTTCCCTCTCTTTGTACGGGCAGTATTGCCCCTAAAATATACGTTCAAATTGTTGTACATTTTTCTGCTGTTGTTTATAAGTAATGAACAACGAAGCAAGTTTTCATTCCTTTTGAAAGACACAGGTGTTCTCAGCTTACATGATGGAAGTGTCCTTCGACGAATTTGGCTAATTTTCAATACCAACCTGTGTGCAAGAGCTTCCAATGTTTCTGTTGCATTCGAAGTCGATAGTGTTGTTGTTTTTGCAGCCAGAAGAATGTTTCCTACAGACGAACAGACGGACATGCTTAAATCGATTCAGTATTTGACACTGATCAAGAATATAGGCATATATTTAGTGGGGTCTCTGAATCTTCCTTCTAACATAATAAACATAAAGCATAGGACAGTTGTTTTGTTCTTTTGTGACGGATATAAAAACAAAATTAATACTTTATAGCCGGGATAACCGGACCATTTTTCAATGGTTACAGTAGTTTGCCTGATGCAATTCTTCATCCTATTGTCGTCATCAAATACCAGAAATCTTACTATTATGTAAAGGTTTGGGTTCCACAGCGTACTGTACATGCGGCCGGTTCGCAATGGGAACAAACATAATCTAAAGATAGTAATAAATACTAAAAGTTGTTGCGAGGTTGTTGTAAGTCCTCATACCTTCCTAGGAATTTTTTAAAATTTTAAAAATAGATCAACGTTGTCCATTTTAGTTTTATTCTCATTATGAAATACTAAACATTAAACCTCGTAGCAACACTTATACGAAAAGTGTTTGAAAAAATATAACTTCATGGCACAGCAATCTAATGTAGCATAGTAAATTCCTATGTTCAATTACAATTCTGAAAAGTTAAATCCTGTTGCCATATAAAAACTAATTTATTGCAAGAAAGTTGATAAAATGCCGGCGAACAAACTTTATCGAAATATCTGCAAAGTTACATTTCGTAAATTGAGCACAACAGTGCATGGACATATATCAAACGGACAGACGGACATCCATACTTAATCGATTAGTGTGCCAAAAGATGAATCTCTCTTAAAGCTTTCTGAGTGAAGCGCCCAAAAACCTAATGTATCTGTACCATGCGGTGTGGGCTGCTCGGGAGGATTCAAATCTCAGTGAGCTACGCTATACCTTGTAGAAAAGATATTCAGTTACTTGGACCTATATTCGTTTGTTAATGTTTTAAGCCCAAAATATTTTGTAAACCTTCCGAACATGAACTTTGTTGTTGCTTCTGATCGAGCTGTTTTTCCTCTGTAGGGTCGTAGTTTAAGCCTTTAATCGTAAAAGGTGTAACTAAATGTGCTTTGCCATCATTACGTTCTTATGTACTAAAGTATCGAAACCTTCTTATCATAAACTCCTCGCATCCTCCTTAGCTTAAAAGGAGAATAATGTGTATTGGAATGCAAGCGTATTATACGAAATGTTTTCGTAATGTGAAGCCGTTCTCATGGTTATAACAAATTATTACAAGAGATGTTTTCATTACATGATTGAAAGTGACTATAAATTCAGGGTAAATAAAAGTTTTTTAATTATTGAAGGGAAGGTTTCGCAATTTTGCTCTGGTTTTATATTAGTTTTTATTTTTCCAGTTGCCTCTTAAAGTTGAAAACTTATGTTTCATGATTTTGCCATGTTTTTATTAAATGCATTCATTGTTTAAGTTACCTTATAAGAGAGAAATAAATGATAATAATTTACTTATTCATAGTAGTCGCAATACTAATGGGTCCTTAATAAACAGATTTATCAAAAATTATGAATTAATTATTAAACAAAAATGTTTGGCTTTACTTTACTCATTAAATATACCTGAAGAGATTATACCTGATCGATCGATTTATATAATAGATAACTGTATAATTTTTATATTGTTTTTGTCATGTGGAAACAAGTAAGAAGAGGAAGAACACGTTAAACAAGCAAAGCACAAACAAACATAATTCAATAAGTTTTCTGATCTGAAATATACATATGGGAAAACTTTAGGCTGGATAGAACCAACTTTCAAATCATAGAAGTGAAAATTTCACAAAATTCTGACAATTAATTTTAGTGATTTTACTTTTGTTACTTGCCAAACGATACAAAACTTAGTTAGTACCATTTGAAGGCTGGCACTAACAAGAAATTATATGTGTCCATCAACAGCGCTATCATTTATGTGTCGGACCGAAGTTTTACTGAATGACGCGATAAATAACCTTTGGACGAGTATCCACCATGTAAGCCAAGACAAGAACCAGACACATAAGCATATAAAATTTTCAATCAATATCAGTTACCCACTTGTTAATATATCGAGTCTTTCTGTCCATCTGCCCGTCTAATGTCTGTCCATGTACTTATATGTTTAAGATACAGTTCGCAATTTTTTAAAATATTTTTGGATATCCTTTAATCCTGGGACGGACGCTATTGAAACTGGTTCGGATTGGTCTACTTTTTCGACCACTCCTCATACAACGTCCTATTTAGAAAAGTCGTTATATGGAGAAAACTTGCAATTTTCAAATGCAATTCGTAAGACCACGTAAGTCTATTTTCCAGATACCATCCCATATAAGGACTCTTGGGAGATGCACATCCTTATATACCAAGAAGCCTATTTGTTAATGTTTTATTATGAAAATTTGTTCGCGATAGTAATTTGTCATGCAAGTTAGGTGGACCGAATTCGAACCACAAGAGTCTGTTCTTTGGACCACACTCCATGTCAGATTTCTCATAAATAGTAAGCCATTCAGAAACAGATTTAATTTTTTATAATTTACGAGGAAAATTGGTCCCCAGTAGCGCTCGACCAAGATATATAGGGGTTATCATAAAAAGCAAGCCAAGGTATATGGGAAGAAAGTCTAATTTCTAACTTTTTACGATGGAAACTGAAAAATGGTAAAATTATGTTTGCAAAATCGGGATCGCGTGACGTTTCAAGCATCAATCAATATGCGGGCTTCATTTGTGGTACATTATTACAAAAACGAGTGCATAATCGTGCTCGGCGAAGTAACGTAAGTTATAGAATGATCGGCCTTGCCCGACTATAATCTTTTTACTTATTTATCTAAGGCAAGCCAATCACGGATGGCTTTGCGTTGAAGGTGTAGCTTCTCTCAATGCAAATAACTGCCTAGGATTTTACTTACTAGTCCAGGCGAATCTTCAGACAGACCAGAAAGGTCTTTAATATCGATTTCTGTCCATCCATTAGAAAGAGGTTCGTTCTATTTTAGCTATCTCTCGCAAATTCTTTACCAATTAGGAAAAATACGACCGAACGGACATATAGCGATACATGGTAAAATCCGCTCAGATTCTTATGGAAGTCTGCATATAACTTATATTCTTTGGGGCTTCTTAGCAGAATGACATGCCTTGATATGCCTTCTTCGACTACTTCGGTGCTAGATATTATATGTAAACAACAGGGCAAATGTATGTTTGTATATAAAGTTCAAGTTACACTTAAGTTAAAAGCTTAACAAGATAAGCGCGTTTTTCGAATGCGAAAAATGTCAAATTTTGACGTTAGATATCGTAAAACTATTATTAAAATAGTGCTTGACTCTGAATAGGCCTGAATAAGATCGTCGAAATTCGAGCTATGCTGATACACGGTTTGCTGCTGCAGATTTTATTTTCAAATAATATCCCATTGCTGATGTGTATGCATTTCATATTTTGCTATGCACATGTACTCACATTCACACGTCGGATAATTTGCGTTTTTTTAATATGGTTAATAATATTGCAAGGCGCAAGACATGATTATTATTAATACAATACACATACATATGTACATAACAATATATACATTCATATTATGTGGAAAAAAAAAAAAAATAACACAAATTGTAAGAGAACTGAAAATTAGAGAGAAATGGCTAAATTTTGTACGAGTTTTACTACCTTATCTGGATTATTGTTTGCATTACTTCCCATCCTACATTTTAAAGAAATTGTTCTTTTCGCTTTTGTAAGGGGATTCTAGAAAATAAGTAGTAGTACGTAAGCGGAGACAATTAAGAAAATTTCAATATGAGATAAACAATGAAAATTTTACATAACGAGCAAATAAATAAAACCCGAAATAGTTAAAATGATGGCGACAAGTGAAAATAAGTAACGCATAAGTGATAAGGGTAAAGCCGGACAGGGAAATGATAATATGACATATATATATATATATATATATATATATATATGGTCTTTATTAGTATGTAATAATAATTTTTTTTGAAATAAAGAGAAAATATATATTTATATAAATATATATATATATATATATATATATATGATTAACACATATTACTGGATATTATATTTACATATCGTTATATAATAATTATCATCTCATCATAATCAACACACAAAATATATTATAATAATATAATAAAATAATCTTTCGGAAATATAGTCTCAATAAAGTTAACTAATGCACTTCAAGAATTTGAAATTTTTAACATTAAAATTAAATGTAAGAAAATTGTAAAAAAGAGGGGAGTAAAAAACTAAAATTCATCTATATATATATATATATAGGTAATTGAGGTAATTGCCCTGCTTACCTCGGCATCTGGATGCGAACGATCCGAGTCATCGTTGTCGAGATTTTGATTTTCTAAATGTTCCTCTTCCGTTTGCGGCATCTGCTGAAGTTCTTCTTTCGATTTAAAATCCAAATGTTTGATATAATATGGGAGGACAAGACCCAAAATCACCTGAATTCAGGTAAAACCATTTCATCTTGCCAACTGATTGAATGCGTATCAATTATTTGGATTTTGATAATTTACCTTAAAATTGGTATTTTTTCGTGTACGCAATCCACCCATCCATAAATCAGCCAATATAACTTGACTGCAGGGATGGGCTAACAAGGCTCGATGATTGGCAGCAACGGCCAGCGATAAGCAGCTTTGATTCGACCACGAATGTAATTCGCATGTCAACAAGCGTTGCGCTTTCTCTCCATCCGTACGATAGCTAAAATCAAGCAATTTTAGACCTTAAAGGAGAAAAAAAGTGAAAAGATAAAGAAAGTCGCGATTAAATCTTTGCCAAATTTTAGATTAAGATTAAGAACTATTAAGAACATATTGTACAAAATATTTAAAAAATTTTCTTTTTTGCTTTTTAAAATATCGGTAGAAGAGTCGAAAGATGGAATCAATTATTTCCTATAGGGATCCGCTTATTTTGATTGATATTACACGTGGGTGAGTTCAAGTTTTGACCTTGAGAATGCTCATATATACCCAGCATAAACAAAGGGGGCAGGAAGGCCTCTAAACAATCAATTTTGAAATATCGGTAGAAGAGTCGAAAGATGGAATCAATCATTCCCTGTACGGATCCGCTTATTTTGATTGATATTACACGTGGGTGGGTTCAAGTTTCGAGCTTGAGAATGCTCACATCTACCCAGCATAAGCAAAGGAGGCTGCAAAACAAAATTTATTCGCATTGATATATATATTCTTTTACCTTTACTTTCGAATTCCTTAGCATAGGAACGTAATTCTTCATAGATCTCTGTATCTAGATCATCTTCGGCCGCTTCGTGAGCCATAGCTTTATATAGCTTGCATGCGACGAGAGATTTTGCTAATGCTTCCTCACCATGCGTCCACATTAGTAAGGCCATTTGTTGGCGTTTCGTTAACACAGCCCAAATCTATGTTACGAAAGTGAAAGCACAACCAATTTTCTCATAAGGTGTCTTTAAATGTTAGCGAAAAAGTTATACGTACTAAAAGCTCATTAAAGGGAAACTCAAATAATGCCATTTCCGAAGTGAACGGCATAAGACCTGTCACCAAACTTAGTGAATTTGCACCAGCATAACGTTGATAAGTAGAAGATTTACGATGAGCGTTAGCATAGCTATTCATAACTTTGGCGTAAATTGGTCGAAATTTTCGACGCGTATAGTATGATCTGCAAGAAAACGTACACAACTTTAGATTATATTATACAGAGTATATTGTCTTCATTTGATAATTATCCAGTATCTTTTCAATACGTTTGAGCTTAGTCACACAGTAGGAGAGGACAATACTTTTACAATATTTCTCTTTGAGATAATAATCATAGGAATTATTAAAGAAGGGTAAAATACTAGATTTGCTCTTTCCTTTCTAAAACTAATTTTTCGATTGACTCAAGACAATTGTTTATTAAACAGCACCTGTTACCGGTCGCAAGATTCAAATTAGAAAACTAATCCGAAGAAAAACACTTCGCGCGACACTTTCAATACTAAAACCTCTCACAAATCGCGATATGCAAAAAAGTGCATCGAAGAATTAACACAAACTTAAATTCGTTAAATGAACTTTTTATGTAAACATTTATGGTTTTTTCTTGAAATAATGCTAAAATTTGGTAAGGTTGATATCTTTCTTAAGTTACTATAATGAATCCATTTTCATGATGAAATATTAAAAATTATACCTTCTTACAATATAAAGTTTCAATTTTCAGGGGAAATGAGTGGGAGTTCAAAAAATTGCCAGCGAGTTTTGTCGAAAAATTTTGAAAATCGCAATTTTATCCGAAAATGTGGAGCGACAATTTTGTCGTACGAACTTAATGTTTCGTTACATGAGAGCAAGTTCAAAAATTTCCCCAGTCGGTCCAAAGTGTTCATACCAATTAAGAATGCCCGAGTAGTAGTACTTAGTCATTCTTGCGAGAAATTTTGAAAATTATAATTTTTTTCCCCATGATTTTTCAGAATAGTTCGTGGGTAGTGGTCGAAAAAGTGGACCGATCAGAACCACTTTCAATAGCGTTCATCCTTCGGTCAAAGCACGTCAGTATCAAAATGTCTTAACAATTGTGACCTGTAGATTGAACAAAACATTGTGCGGACACACAGACAGACTTACATCGACCTAATAAAAAGTTAATGCCATAAGTGGTGGAGGGCATAAAAACTTATATTAGCTTACGATGAATATTTTCACGTGCACCGCTTTGCTGAGTACGCATACGAGATTTGACTTATCGTAGCTTTGAGATCAAAATTAATTATTTTTTAACTGAACACGGAAATTTAACCAAGAAAAAATTTAGGATCTCATATAGAAGAAGAAGAAGAACATTTTAAAGTGCAATATGCATAGAAGGTAAAAATAATCCCATTTCGGTAGTAATGGGCGTTCTCCTGTTTCGTTTAGCCAATTCTTGAATGTAAGTCGTAAAGGAGAGAGGAAGGAGAATTTACACAGATTTAGAGTACATAGAGTATGTAGATAAAGAATACATAGACTTCCGCTCTACTCCGTTACTTCTCCATGTTACAAGCATTTGACGCGTTTAAAATATCTCATGCGATAGTTTTTTACAACATTCAATACAACATTTGGTCCTCGGGGAGGCTTTTAGTAATTTTTAAATTTTGGCAAATATATATATGAACGAGTATTTTATAGCCAATAAAACAGCAAAAAGGTCAGCTGTTGCGAAATATTTGATTTTTTAAAGGAAATGTCTATGCTGCCGGAAAACAAACATAAAAAGTGTACACATTCATGTATAATAAACGAGGGGGCAAAATACATAAATAAATAAAAACTTTTTGAACTTTTCTACCATATTTCCTCATTTATTATATTAAAAAAAAAAAGAAGAAGAATAGATTTACACAAAATCCATAAATAACTTTCACGTTCGTTCTGTGTTTATGGCACAAATTTCATTTGTGTTTATGACCCAGTAGCACTGATATAAGCGGTAGTTTGGTTAAGGCACTTAAGTCAAATATACATCTTCATTTTCATAGTTAAAAACAAATGCTTTATACCAAATATTTATCAGAACATATATAAGAAGAACATTTAAACAGGATGGTGGTGCTTGTTGTCGCACTCCCTATACAGAATTTGCAGTGCAATCATTTTAATTCTATATAGCTTTTTAATGATGCTTTACGAATAAAAGCAACCATGTTAATCGGAAATAAAGAACATGTGTTTGTTTGTATGTCTTCTTTGTTCAAATTCTACATAATGCGGCCCATTCTCTGGAGCTGGGGTAGCTCAGCGGCCCAGGGAATCTGGTGGTGCGCGGCTTAAATGCCTTTTAACAATAACGAAGGTATGAGTAAAAGCTTTATAGCTGAGCAAAGTCAATCGCGAAACAGTCTGCTTCGCTTCATTTGATGCAGTTGTTCGTTTTTTTTTTTTTTAAAAGATACCCAAAAACTATACAATGTCTTCAAGTACGGGCATATTTTCCATAGAATCAAAGATCTTGTAATTCTTTATGTATTTTCGCCATGAAATATTATTAAGTGGACCAAGTACGGACCAAGTTTGCCCATAAAAATTTATATTTTTTTAATTCCACTCATTTTGTTTTTTTCTAAAATATGAGTAACATCTGAAAGGAAGGTTCAGAAGAGACCCTATAAGCTATATATATTCTTGATCAGCGTGAAATACTGAATACTGACGCGTGTTTTTGTCATTCTCCTTCTCGCAAAAATTAAAATATCGACTTCAAATAAGACACATTGGAAGTTCCTGAACGCTGGTTCGTATTGAAAATTGGCCAAATTGGTCAGAGCAACAAGCGCGCATTAGAGCGTAAACTGAACGCAACCCAGTTTTATCTAACAAAAATTTTAAAATTTTTCCTCGTTCCTTGGAAATTATTAAAGTTAGAAGGCTGCAATTTTCCACATTTGCTTTACGAGGCACTTTACTCTCTAGGTCCAAAAGTAGATCCAATCGGCCGTGCCTACATAAAGTTAGGAGTAATTAAAATTAAATTTTTTTAAGTTTAATGCTTATTTATCATAAAGCAAAAAACACAAAGCGTTTAAAACCATTTCGTACATTTCTCAAAAGTAGATACATTCTCTGCCTAAAAATGGGTTAATTCTAAAATGAATATGGTAGACACCGCGATTAATTTTTTCTTAATAATACCAGCGATATGGGTGTCAAATGAAAGAAAATGGAGATTAGAATGCGAAACGCATAGTTGTGGGTAGAGAGAGAGAGAGGGAAGATTCGTTCCCCACCGACTATAACTTTCTTACTTGTTCTTCCACAAAAGGGGTAAGTTTTCACATGAAGCCTTATAGGGAAGGTGGCGCAAAAGGTTGGCCCAGCCACATGAAATTTTCAATACCGTATCAGTAATCCGATTCATTTCCAATTTCTTGGGCCAAAACATGCCCGCTTACCAATTTTGATCAAAATACCTCGAAAATTACGAACCACAGTGGAATACAAGAATTCATGAACAGATATAAAACAAACAAAACACAAAAAAGCTTAACGTACGTGGATCTATTTTAACCTCCGCTGGATGATATTTGCAACCGCACAAAATTACTATTATATGTATATTCTGGTGTAGAGTATGACTATAACTTTTAATTCATAGAAGATATTGGCCTCGCCTTTACTACTTATATTAAAAACATGTCCTCTAAAACTAAGTCTTAGAAACTCGGAAAGTTGTGATTCTAGGCACGCTTTACTCTACAAATGTATGGTCTCTCAAATCGCATAGTCCGTTTACTCTCCTCCGCTCTGCTATTTTTCAAAAAGCGGATTCATTTACAATTTCGTCCCTTAGGTGAACTGTCATTTTGACTTTGGCAAGTCAAAAGTAGAAGATTTGTAGATACATTCCCTGTACACTGACTGAGTGTGTGTTGGAAATGCATGAACACAATCCTTTATTATAAAATCTAAAAGGAAATCGGCGACCTAAAAGCAAAGTGTCGAAATACGTCTCCAAGCAAAAAGCTTGACACAGCTTGGAATGGCTTCTGATCCTGACAGTGAATGAATGGCATTAGCAAACGATGTTTAGTAACTTTTTTACCCTTAAATCGACGGTATGTAAGCGGATAGCGCTTGTTTCCAGAAAGATAGCATCATCGCTTGACATTGCTAGGTAAAAGACCCTATACTTTCTGAATAAAGCATCAGTTTTCCGATTGACCAACTGATACTCTCAGATGCTGTTTCGAGACGCTGATCTATTTCCTCTGATTTATAATTTATGAGATCTGGTGAATGGACTATTAATTGAAAGCCTAATTCACTTACCTGTAAGCACCGCCCATTAATTTATTTATTACTAAACCGATATCATGTAAAGTATAAATATATCCTTTTGGTATATGAGGACGAACATCACGTAATATATAACTAGAGGCAGATAATACAAAATTAAAACAATAAAAGTTGTAAACGAATGCACTTATCCCGTCAATTAGTTTAGTTAACAAGTTACTTACCCTAAAGTATTAGCTGGTCCATGTTTTGTATTGTAAAGTTCTTCGAGTCGCGGTATCGTTAAAAACTTTTTCATTGAAACACCATTTTCTAGTAATAATTTAACGAAATCGATTCTATCATGTTCAAGAGCTTGCATCATCGCTTCGTCCAAAGCGCCTAAGAAGAATTACAAAAAGAGAAAAAAAAAGGAAATCCTATTTTACACACAATCAAATCAAGAAATATGAGCGTTTTGTTTTCTCGGAAAAAAATTTACCTAAGGGCCATTCTTGGCCGTACACAAAGATTTCGCTGCGTGCAATATCAACCCGATTCCATGTTAAAGCCAAGCTAAGTTGTTCAGGCGGACTTAGATGCTGCGATTTAAATAAAGCGGTTAAAATAGTTTGATCCAATTCTTGCGCCTCGCCTTCTGGTTTCTCTTGTATACGAAATACGGTTATCTGAAAATGTTAAATGCAAAGAAAGTTGAAATGCAGACGAGTTGACTGAAGACGAGCTGGACTTACTAAATTTTTATTCCGAGTACATTGTAACAACTCCTGATAGAGTTTTTCCGCTTGCTCAGGTACGACTTCGAAAGTTTTCTGTATCGTAGCTATTAAATATTCTCGGGTTGATTCTAAAATGGCCTGCTCATCACTATCCGATGTATATCTAAACGATTCAAGAGAATGATTAGAACTTTTTTTAATGTAAAAAAGGGGGAAATGAATCCATTACTATAATTATGTGTGAACGACAGAGAGCGAATTAAATTCCAGGCATTTATATAACTCGTCCTGCTTACACTACGAAGAAAGGGTTTATTTCATGGGAATGAAAAAATATATTTTGTCAAAAGTAGCGTATCCACCTTTTGTCCACCTATTTGTTGGAATAAAAATTCCATGACGAAATGGCATCTACTTATTTGAGGCAGTCTAAGAAACAATCAAATTGTCAATGTCGTCAGAAGAACGAAAGCTGTGCTCAAAGGTATGTTCTTTAGTTGTATCAACTCTTACTTTCAAAGAACTCCAGCCTGAGCGCTTAGAGCTTGCTTTGGATATCGTAACGCAGCCATTTCAACCCTGTAGTATTATCTTTCGACTTAAGCAGAATCACTTGCCGCACATGGCCGTTACTAAGTAGACATTTTTGGAACGCAGCAATAGGCTTAGTGCGAAATGTATCCCTAGTAATTTTATCTTAGGAAGTTGCGTTAATTTTAAAACACGATTCCTACAGCTCAAAATGAAAAAGAAATGGGAAATCGAAGTGTACATAACGGTTCAATTCGATGCTTTTGAGCATCCTCTATATAAAATAACAGTTTTCCTTTTAATATAATTGATTTATTCGGCATGCGTTGACCCGAAGCATGGAAAATTTTTCTTCTTCCGAATTCATTGCAATATCAGAAGCTTATGATGATGCTGCTCCATCATATCCAAATTGTTGGTTTTGATTTCAACGGTTTAAAAGCCTCGATCCGAATTGACTGAAAATGCCATTTTTTGGCCGCGTTTTGCAAAAGTCTTCTTGGATACATTGTTGTAGCTCGAATGGGAAATACTTCCATAGCCATCGCATACGCCAGACATGGCTTCTCCTGATTATCACTTGTCCAGGTCGGTTGCAATATGGCTTGGCTGGCACGGGGGTCCCCAATGTTGAAGAATTGCGAAAATGGATTGGTGAGTGGATCGCTTCCGGACCAATATAAGCTCTTTCGATATGACATCACCATGTTGCCAAAAATATTGTAAAATGTTGTAGAAAATGATGAAAACTATTTCGATTAATATATGTTGTACCAATTTTCCACATTGACTGCTTTTTTCAAGTGAAAAACCTAGCAAAATTAACGCAATCTCCTAATATTTTCGATAAATTAATTTAAACTCTCCGCCTCCTTATGAAAATAGGTTGCTTCTTTTCTCCCTACCAACACTCGAGAAAGGTAGATTTATTCTTCGTATTTCCTTCTTAGTTAAGTTAATGAATGGTACGGATATGATTCGCCGACTTTGCTTGGTGATATAAACTTTAATATCCCTAACCGCTTCCCTAAGCTCTTTATCTTCATTAGGCTTAGTCAATGTAAATATAATCAATCCCTTCAAAGTTGTTTGCAGAAACCTAAATGAAGACTATCGCTTAAAACAATTAAGCTTAATACGCGCCATTTGCCTCATCATCAACATCTCACTATAATTCGAAAATTAACTCGCGTTGTTTATTGTTGTTATCGGTTGGCAAGCTTTTGCATGTTTGCAATTGGCTTACGGGTTCACTTGTTACTTCGATTTGTACTGGTTGTGTGTGTGCCTCTGTGAATAGTTTTTTACGTGTACATGCCTTTTTTTTTTTTCTTCTTTATTTACACATGAATTATTATTTTATCCTTTATTTCTATTTATATACTTTGTATTAGTTTTAGCTGAGTGTAAATAAATAAACAAAATAAACAAATAAATAATAAAAAAAGAAGAAAACCTAGTTATTCTATTATTTATTTTTTTGATGATAAATTGAACTTTTCCCTTCAACTACTCGCCATTCATACAGAAATCAATATTTTTCAAATCCATCCATATTTGAATATATACCGGCGTGGAGACTAAGCGATTTTTCCCAGTCATTTTGACCAAGTACAATGCACCAAAGTCGCGTATATTAAAAGTGGCTCGCGAGAATAGCTTCAGTGTTGCCATTTCTTAATATTTTTCAGAAATATCAATTTTTTTTTTTTATATTATTACGAAATATGTTTTCCTCGGATATGGTTCGTGTCACTAGATCGTGGCTATACTTTTTAAGAGAAACACACTTGTACCTTTTCATTACAAGACACTTTTATTCATCAATCATAGGGTAAAACTATTTGCATTTTACTTTGCCAATACTCCCGACTTCTGAACTCTAATGTTCTTTTTCAACCCAAATGGTCTTGTCCGACTGACTCCGCCTTCCCCAAATAGTTGATTTATATACATTTTTATAAGCATATTACTTTTACCTAAGTTCATGGCTTCCTTTTTAATCCGTTAACCTGCTTCTTCGCTAACCATTTTCCTCGGGCGTCAGTCGTATGACGCGCCGCGAATGTGCCATTGGGTTTTCCCTCTCTAGGGAATTTATTATTTGGGAAAATCAATTAGTCGAAATGAACTGGGTTTGGGATTTCCGTAAGAATATTAAAATATATTCTTAATAATCTCCTCGGATGCTATTATTATATTGTTTTTGCTTCCTTCCAAAATATATTCTCAAAAAAGAAAACACTTCTTTTAAATTGGATCAATGGTTTTCGCTTATAGTTTTTTGAACTTGGTGTCACCTTTATATGACGAAGCGTCCAAATTTTAATATTTTCTAAGGAAAATTGCTCTAAAACATCCTCTTGGAGTACGAGTTAAGTATAGCAGATTTGGATCGCGTAGGTTTATTATTTTTTAGAGGATTCTCATAGAAAAGCCGTTCTTGCCTTGATATGTGATAATCTCTAAGCTTTCATCAAAAACTATTTTCTTGTACACCACAAATAGGGCTGATGATGACCAAAAGAAGATAATCAAAGTCGCGTTTATGAAAATTCCTTTCTTATCAGCTTAACTTACTTGCGCTTTTAAGTGAATTTAAATAGCGGCCTTCGGGCACACAGCAGCCCATAAGTTTTCGTATATAAGAAAATTCTCTATAAATCCCCTAAAAGTTCGTAATATATGTTGATGTTTCGTTAGCATTAAAAACAAAATACTAAAAAAGAAATAATAAACACAAAGGCCTGAGCCTAATCTAAAATAATGAAACTTTTTCGGGCTTTTTCTTTTGTGCCTTTCTGGCCATATTCTATCCCAATCACAGATTTGCCAATCATTACTATACGAAAACATAACAATGGAACATAAAATATTTAAAAGAAAATCTTAAACCTAAGTGATTTCGTAAAAAAATAAAACGTCATGTGTCTATCCCGTCTATCCGTTGTACAAGGGTAGTAATAATAATAAAATGAGAGAGAAACGTTTAAAATACAGTTTAATGGGTGCCCAGGATAGTCGGGCAAATATATGTATAATATGTAAGTATGTGTCAGTGTGTTGGCATAACTTACTTGTGAACAAATGCTATTAAATCGGCAGCACGCCCAGAACCATCGCACACGACCACCGGTACGGGTGGTGTATCCGTCACGTATTCTAAAACGGCACGTATTGTATTTGTACCGCCCTCGATAACAAGACAAACGACGGGTGTACTAGAATGTGTAACTGTAAAGATGCCAATATAAAGTTCGAATGTCAATAAATTTCGCCACGCATATATACGCGCGTTTACATACATACATACATACATACACATTTAATGAGAAGCCATCATAATTGAAAGAAAATTTATTTAAATGTTTTGCAATATTTAAGGAGCGAGGACAAAAAGAGTTAAATACTTGTACACATACATATATATGCACATGTATGAGAAAGTGTTTATGTCTCTAATGTGTTTACTTTTATTTACTATAATTAAGTTTATGCCATTGTTCGTTTAATGATAATAGAAGCAGAAGTTGTTCATATTGAATAATATAAGGAATCTTCAAAAGTTGCCAGTGTAGCACTTTTGACAGCATGGAGGACATTACGTAAGGTATATACTTATTTTTGGTTGAGCTAAGCAAAAGAGACGGTTTACCCATGGCCGTGTCTCTAGTTGCTTTGCGATGATAACCAGGACTGTGACTTCAAAACGTTGTTGTTTAGTTGCGACTCGTCGTATTCTTGGCAGATTATTTTAAAATTACCTAAGTCGGCCCATAAGATTGCTATGCAAGCTATGCTATGATCTTTAAGGTAAAACAACAGAACGTAGACAATTGGCAACAACATGCATTTACGGTTTAAATTATGAAATTTGTGTAAGGATATGTTCTTGAGCAGCATTCTTGCTCTATTCCTCTGCTAATCCCTTCTTTACAACCAACCATTGCTATTTAGAGACCTTGAGTTTGATTTCAAAGTATTTGTCATAGCTTGTCATACGCATTCGCTTCTGATGCCTGTCACGATTGCAAGATTTGGTTTAGCAAAACAAATTTTTGCATCATTTTCACTAATATAACTTTAAAAGTGAGTCCCACATCGATCTAATTTATCGGCTTGAAATATCTACGCCCATGCCTATCAAAGGTAATCAAATTGATTTGGTTTGTACATCGGATACCTATGGAAGGGTAAATACATCATAGCATAAACACCGGGCCCGAGGTCCGGGCCAAATGTCCTCTTCTAAGGGGTTTTCCCAAGCTTCATCCCAGTTTTTGCTTTTACACTCTTCAAACTTAAGTTCAAAAGTCATAATATTAACAGACAATTGAAGAACTACTTTTGGGGCTTTGGACCAACTACTTATTACAAACTTATTGCCGGGGTCGACATCGACAACTTTATCGACCCAAGGTGTGGCTGCAATCGTAACAAATTCGTGCACGAACGTACATAAGAGAAGCATATACATGTAACTAGAACGTGCATAAGGAACCCATATAGAGTAAGTAGAATGAAAATTGCATTTAATATTTTGCTTGTGTTCATTAGCGCTGTTTGGCGCTATTTTGGCGAATTAAGAAAGGTTTTCTCATGCGATATGTAACAATGGAGGAAACTGGAAAGGAAAGCCGTCCAAAACGAACAAAAAGATAGCGCCCCTAAAACAGCTACCTCTGGAATTGTCATGAAATTAAATTTTAGTGCTACCCAGAGATGATTTGAGTCAGTCAATAGTGTTGCCGGAAACATATTAACGTATGGCGTTGGTGTTATAACGCATATATTTTAAAAATTACATTTGCATTAAAGTTGACAGCACTGCACTGTTAAGTTAGTTAACGGAACAATAGTTAATGTCAATTAAGTGGAGCATATGGCGTCTGACCATTGCATAAATGTGCTTAGATATAGTAATGATGATTGGCTATGAGCTTAATGTGCAACTTAAACAACAACAACAAACAAATACAAGGAATAAGTTTATGTGATTACATAAAAAAAAACATATTTATTTAGTAAATTAATTGCATTATTGATAATATCGCGTTATATGGTAGACTTAATTGAGGCGAATAGGGAGATATGTATGAAATTAACTTACATGGATGCAATTTTAAATTGGATATGAATTTTTCTAATTTTCGTCTTAATATTAGCTCGGCACCATACTTAGCTTGCGTTCCATTATCAACCAAAAGGAAGTATGCATGCCGGTTATTAAGCACTGCTAACTTTGATCTGAAAATTTTTTCAAACGTATTAGCAAATAATTAATATTTATTGAAAGCCTACGGCGCTAGTATACAATAGCATAGTATAATAATAAAGTGTAACAAAACTCACCTGGGCGAACTAATACTATGACACGGCACCTCACGATTATGACCCAACAGTTCATGATTACGCTCAACTATGCCCCATGGAGCAATGCCAATGCTTACGACACGTCCGGTACGTTGCTGTCCTTCCAATAGCAAGGCATCGCCCACTTGTTTAGTTACACCTAGCAAAGGAAATCAAAACAAATGAAAATTGCTTTTTAAGCTTAAGACGAATATGTTGTACTCAACATTTATGCATAATCATAAGTTTTTTTTTTTTTTTTTTTTAACTCAAAGTACATATTTAACATTTGACGATTTTCAGAAGCAAGAATCTAACAGATTTAATCCTAATTATGTCTGTGTAAAAAGGACGGGGTAGTCATAAAAGTTACTCAGAAATTCGTTCTTCATTATCAAGCTTTTCTGCTTTCATTTAACCCTAGACAGACTGACACTCAGTGTATACCTATAGTGCCCGAAAGCAGTCAAAAGGAAGTTCTTCGGGCAATCTAGTGTGCTTAACTTGAGCACACTTAAGTATTTGTCTATTTAACAGCCAGCGCAAGTTTCAAGTTAAAATTTGTATAAAAAACGCATACAATTACGTTTTTCGTTCGCCTGCCTTGACCCGGCTTAAAAGTAAAAGTAATGAAAGAAAGTCATTATGTTAGGAGACTTTATAGCAAAAGCTTCATTGTGTCTGTGTGGCTGTCCCATGTCTATTCCACAAGATTAAAGCCGTAGACATTAAAGTTTTCCCGCCGACGTTCATCTAAGGATCTTAAGAGTTTAGGTTATCATAGCGTAACCATTTTCATGACCTTCAACAGTCGAAAGCTGCTATCAGCACTTTCCATAAAATACCAAGAAAACCGAAGCTTGTACTGAATGCGGCCATTTTTAAAGCTTGAAAGCGAGTCCCTCCACTCTTGGCTTGGTTAATCGGGTCTCTTCTAAAGCAAAACATTTCCTTCTAGGTTATGTTTGGCTATTGAGTATTCTTTCGCATAGTCATATATTTGTTACCTCAAGTGAGACTAAGAAAGTAAAATAATCAAAATTTAATTACAAATTTGATGCTTCATTGATCTTTTTTGCCTTTCTAGTACTTTTTACATAATTCTATTCTTACTATAATTAACACGTTCCCATTTATCAATTATATAACAGAGAGCGAGCGAGGGAGAGCATATAAGAGAAGAACTTGTTTTCATTGGCCCAACCCGGATCTAAAAGTTTACAAATAATTTCTGATTATTATTACTTGCCCTAATTCGCTCTTAATTAGTATATAAAGTAAATGACTTTTTGATCATGAACCCTTAGCCTTTTCGTTTACTTTGAAAGTAAGAATTAATGGAAAATAGAATTTTGGAAAGCTTGATGTTCTTTTCGCAACATATTCCTGATACCTTTTCATTTGATAACCTATCTGAGTTTATCTGTAATCATATTTTTGCACTGTTACACTGTTATTGGTAGAAGGACTGCCGAAGGCAATAAACTATATTTAAATATAATTGTACGCTAATTAGAAAATGGTTTTTAGCAAAGTTAGTCTATCCTTCTATGAGTGTGCGGCATACAAATATATGAGGAATGAAAATCTATACATATTTTAAATACTAAAAGCTAAATGTCATCGAATAACTTTAGTAATAATAGCAAACATAATACAACTTGTAGACGACATTGAACAGGATAAATAAATAACATGTCAATCACAAACATACCCCACCCTTAAATTGTTGTGTAAAAATGTTGTTTCGCCCACCACGATTAAAAATGAAAACAAAGCATACAAAGAAGAGTTTTTCATATTTCTGTTTACATGTGTGTGTGTGTGTGTGTGTGTGTGTGTGTGTGTGTATATATATATATGTGTATTGTAAGTTTTACTCTGCTGACAAATACAAACATTTACAAATAGTTAGAATATGTTTAAGAACACATAGCAAGCAGTTTGTTTGCTCTCTGCCCTGGCAGTAGAAATGAAGTATTTGCATTTTTCTTCTTCTTATTTTTTTTAATAAAAAAAAAAAAAAAATTGGCTTTTGTTTTGCAAATGATTTCGATAACATTAATAGGAAATCGAATAGTGCCGCATACAGAGAATTCATTAAGTGAACACTATTGCAAGTAATCACCTGTATTTGTGCCACCAGTGAATATCCAGGCTCCTGTAGTTTTTGCCGCTTTCAATAGGCCTTTACGTATTTCCTTTAAAAACAAAGCGAATTTAATTTGAAATGAATTTTTCTATTTACATTTATTTCAATTAGTAATAAAATTTGATTGTATGTGTGTTATGCACTTATGAAAGGATTTATGCTCTAAGCCTTATATAACACTAAGTATCAAGTTTGACTTGAAATGACTAAAAAAGCCAAATAAGCCAGTAGCACATAAGATAATTAATATGGATTTATAATATTTATACAATTTGTAGATTAAACACTATAATTAAACATTACTTATATATATTTTACGATAATTATTGTAGTTGAAGTAGTCGATAGTCGGAGATAGATTTGAAATGCAAGTGAATTGACGTTTGCTCTCTAAAGGCTAGTCATTCACGAAATGCTTTGGCTAGTTTTTGCATTAGGGAACAGAAATGCCTTGCGAACATCCTTATGGGACATCGTTGGGTGCTCTATTATTTTGTAGTTATATCCTACACTATTTGTGGCACAAGGTATATTAAGTTAGTGTGGACGTATGTAACACGAAGAAGCACTTAAAATAGATCTGGCCTTTGTTGTACCGATCGATTGACAATCATAATCCGAATTGATCTAAGCCTTTCTGTCCATCTTATGTCTGTCCATGTAAATTTTTATTCAAGTTACAGGTCGCAATTTTTGAGATGTTTTGATGAAATTTGGTACAGTGACATGTTTTGATCCGACGACAAAAGCTATTGAAAATGGTTCGGATCAGTCCACTTTTTCCACCACTCCCCATATAACAGTTTATCCTGAAAAATCATTATATGGAAAAAATTGCAGTTTTCAAAATTTTTCGGCAAAAGTGACTAAGTGGTAGTATTTCTGCATTGTAAAATGGTAAGAAAACTTTGGAACGGCGGAGACAATTTTCGAACGCCCTCTCATATAACAAAAAGTGCAGTTCATAGGACGAAAAAGTCTAAATTTCAAATGCCTCATGATTATATCATAATAGTAATTTAATATTAAAAAATGAACTGTACCAAGTTTGGACTATCTAGGCCTATTTTTTGAATCCCACACTAACAAGAATTTTCATGAAAATTGATACTTTGTAAAGCAGAAGAGTCCAAGTTTTAATATGTGGTGATGAAAATTGACCCACGATAGCAATTTCATACAAAAATGAACTCTACAATATTTGGACCAGTGGGCCTCTATATAAGCAATTTCGCGAAAGCTGACTCTTTATAATGCAGACAAGTCTACATTTTAATATGTTATGGTGAAAATGAATCCATAAGAGCAATTTGATATAAAAACTAACTCCACGAAATTTGGACCACCCACGCCTATTTTTGTATCTCCTCCTATATAAGGATTTTCACGGATATTATTAATTTTTAATGGCAAAAATGTCGAAGTTTTAATATTTTTTGATATAAAATTTATTTATGATGAATTTTCAACTTGTACTTCAATTTTTCAACGTCTTGGGTGCAACTATTCTTATGGAAAGTAAGCCTTTATTTGCAAGCAGGTCTAATTTTGAATATACCGTTCCATAATAGCAAGTTCATATCAAAATAGGGTTCTATCGAAAAATTTAGGTTTGTATTAGACAATGTAGTGTAGGGCATTTAATAGCCGGCGTAGCCCGACTATAATGTTTTCACTTATTTTAACTAAAAAAAACATAACTTTTCCTAAAAGTGAAGAAACATTCAATATTAACTTAGTTTACAAACGGAAGTAAGCTCTAAAAAATACTTATCCGGAAAAAACATAACTTGCTGCACTTGCAATAGTTGTTGCAGATGAGAAACTTTACGAAACTCTTACAAAATTTTGTTGATTTGAGTTTGCACGAAAACTAGCTGATTTTCGAAGAAGATTTTTTTAAGATAAAGAAAGCAAGAAGAATGAAAAATTCCAAAGAGAAGAGAAACTAAATACACATTCATGGCCCTTCACCTGGTTCGTGCAACTGGCGATTATCGAAAAGATTAACAACAATTCATAAAACATTTAGCGGAAAGAGGGATTAAGACAACAATGTCGCAGCGGAATTTGGTACTGACAACTTGCTTGCAGAAGATTACACTCAAACCTGTGTTTGTGCGTTTATGCGTTTCCTATTCACTGCATAAAAAAAAAAAATTCTGTTTATTTGTGTTACGAAAACTATATTTTATGGCTATATATGAGCGCAAGCTCATTTGGGGAAGGCAAAGTCAGTCGAGTCGAAAGACACGAATCGTAATATTCAAAGGGGCAAGACAAGAACCAGTAGTAAAATGTTGTGAATGATGTAAGCCCCTGTAAATAATTTGTAAATTGATCTTCTAAGAGTTAGAAGCCTACGCTATCCCAAAAGTCGCAATGCAGTGGTACGAACTTAACCTCAAAAGGAGTCCAACAAAAGAACGTAAAGATCGCTAAGGGCTTCGCCCTTACCACAGAACTGTATTCAACTCTAAGTAATATAGCTTCGTTCATTTTACTATGTTATGTAAAATTTTTTATAGTGAGCGCTTGAATTGGTTTACATTTTTTTGCTTAACAAAATTGGTTAGCACTAAAAAAAAAGAGAAGAAATTTAAAGAACGCGAAAGGTCTAAGAAGAATTTCTATTCCAATAATCGTTTAACACCTTTTAAAATTTTCACTTTACGGCTGCAGTCCTGTAGTCTCCATCCCATTTCGGAGTGTAGCATTGTAGCATCTATCGATGGTTATGCAGAACGACAGAATACTCTCTGTACTCTTCTCCTTCTTTCTCTTCCTCTTCGGACTGATTTGTAACAATTGCTGCTTATGCCATAGCATTTATCGATGGCTATATAGCACACTGCTACTATTCTGCACTATTCATCTTCTTTCTCTTCCTCTTCGGAGTGATTTGTAACAATTGCTGCTTGCGCCAAAGCATTTATCGATGGTTATATAGAAAGACAGAATACTTTCTGTACTCTTCTCCTTCTTTTTATCTTCTTTCTTTCTTTCTTGTACGAACTTCTCAAGTGAAACAAAAAAAGTTTGGAAATTTTTGAAAAAAAGAAATTTAAAAATTCAGCCGAACTGCATCGGGGCGCTATGTATTTAATGAGTTACTTCTACAAGCTTCGACACAATCGATTGTGAGCAGAACCCAATCATATGCTTTATGTTATTAGAAGTTCCAATCATTTCGCTACGCACTCTCTTCTCTTCTTTTCACGTCGTCTATTATCTTAAGCAGAGCTAGAGAATATGCAGAATAATTTAGCAGATAAAATCTTCGGTCCATCCCAAGATATTAAAAATCTCCCTTAATAAGTGGTTTCACGATCTTTTTTCTAGTTACAAAATAAATGTACCGCCCGAGTAGGGAAAATCACAAGAGCTACGCATTAGTGGACAGTGGGGTTTGCGAAAATTTAAAAGTCTAAACTTTCTACATTTTTTCTAAAGTTCTAAAATTTTGTTAATGTCATTCCTATAAATAGTTCAACGTAGGTTGAATCATGCTAACGCTCTGTCCGTCACATCAATGAGGAGATACGAAGCTCTAAAAACAGACTAATGTGTAGACTTAAAGTAATGTTAGCGAGGCAAAGATAAATTTGAATGTCAATAGCATAGACGATGACACCAATTGACATAGTTAATGTGAGGTCAAATTGAAAACGACTCTCAAGTCATGCAAGAGAAATGCAACGGTGTTTTTCAGAAAATATATGTAACAAGTGCACTAAATTGAATTATGTTGATGAAAATCAAATCGAAATAAAAAAGCACAGCCTGCCAAAAATAAAAAATTTGTTCTGTTTTTTTTTTTCGCACACACCGTCTTCTTCAATGGTGATTGGATGTAAAAAAACTTTTATATAATTGAAAAAATTTCAAAGTATGAAACTTGTAAAATGCATCAATAATCGTAGGCGCAATTCTTTTGGCCGATTAACATATAGCTGGATTTGGGCTTTTTCGAGCTCTGTTAACATTTTTGCTTATAGTCAAATTTGTCTCGATTTTCATTCTTTTCCAACATTTATCGTTTGGATGATGTCAAGCATATCGGGAGTTTATTCTGATTCTAAATAAAAAATAAAAAGACAACCACGTTTTCCTCATACGAGTAAGTATGAAAGTTAACTACTATAGGATGGGAGAATTTGGTGAAATCATTTCTCTGTTTCTATGCGTAATTATTTTTTTGATTTGGCAACACCGAAAATAATTATGTTGTTAATATCTTACAATAAACTTTAATTAAATATTCTCCATCCGCCTAAGTGGCCAAAGGTGAAAAATTTCGAGTAGGAACTCAACGGTCTTGGGTTCGAATCTCAAGTGCGGTAGAGTTTTTTAAAAAAGCCGATAGCGTTAGATGCTAGTGCTTTAAGACTTTACTCTTCGGTTGTTGATCTTAGTCCCTAACTAAATTAATAATAATAATAATAATAGATCCACTTTAGAAAGGTATATCTGGCTAGATTTCTCAAGACGTTTGCAGCATCCTTTTAAAGACTCTTACAGTTTTCTCTTGCTATTTTTTTTTTGTGAAGAGAATGCGTTCCAATTACTTAGAAAGTAGTCTTAATTAAACGCTTGCTATTATCCTCTACAAATTACTTACACATTTATAGTTTTATCTTTTTCTTTTGCAAATATTTCATTATCCACTGCATGTTTTTCCACTTAAACAAAAAAAAAAAAAACTCATAAAATTAATCATTTAATGCCGTTGAATAAACTGTGAACGCCTGTGCTTTCGTGATAGTGAAAACACTATCGCCCTAAAAGCAGTTTTTTGCTAAAACACAAAAATTGGGATTCTGAGAAATATCACAGAAATGTCACAAGTCACAAGGTAGCCGCAAGCAAAGGCCAGGTTGCTTTTGTGACTGGTTGAATTTTGGGTGACCTCAAAAAAATCATTTGCTGAACAACTCATAAAGAATTTTTCTTCCTGCAACATGCTATAGTATATATGCGTAAATTCGACAAATGTAACGCAGGTCGAAATTATTATGATTAGTGACAGTTTACCATATCTGAACGCAACATTAAAACCCATTATCTCTAATGGACCGAATCGGTCCACAATATATCTTATATAGGCACACAATATACGTTATTTGATTCTCGTCGAAGGTTCAATCAAATGTTGCTTATCCACTATCTCTTTGTAAGTGTAAAGTTTTTTTTTTACATTCTCAACTTTTTGGATGTCTATCATAAATATCCAGCCATCGGCTTTAATTCGCAAATTATTAAAAACAAAATTCGGAAGCATTTCTCTTTTAAAGCTTTTCTTTTATTCAGACAGATATCTTTTATGCAGACGGATAATTTCAAATTGGGGAACTTTAGTGACAAAAGTAACCCAAAATCTGATAGAGTTACTGATTGGTTAAACCTATACTTTATAAGAAAGGCAAAGCTGGGCGCACAACTCACGTGCAGTCCAAATCTCGGTGGTGGACAAAATACGTACCTTTTTTAATTTTGGTTGCAATTCAAAGTTGGCTTTGCCTCCTTGTACTGTTATTAGAAGTTTTGGCAATTCTAAGTTCCATTCTTTGGTGAAAAGCTGTACCAACAATTCGGGACGCGTCTCGAATGACAAGCGCACGTACTAAAAACAAACAATAGTAAAAACTTAGGAAATTTAATAAATTTTCGAAAAAGAAATTAATAGCTTGACGGCGCTTCTAGCGCTTTTTATAATAATATCATTATTTACGTAAGATTACTTCATACAGAAATATGTCTGCATATATAATGTACTTTGTACATAGATTTGCTCATGTTTGTGACGTGAATGCGATATATGAGCACCCAAGCACGCATTCGTTATCATTCATTATGTCAACAGAATTGTGTTTTTCGCTTTCATACCCATCACCGAAGACTGAGTGGTATATGTATTTTGTCAAAACGTTTGCAACACACAGAAGAAAGCATCAGAGGTCGCACAAAGCATATATACGCTTGATCAGCATCAAATTCTAGATCGATTTAAGCATATCCGTCCGTCCGTCTGTCCCTCTGTGTAATGTTTGACCGCAAAAATGAAGACATCGTCTAAAAATTTGCAAAAGAATTTGGAAGTAACCCTGAACTTTTCGTAGGACACGCCTACAACTCACCGGCTTACACGCCTAAGCGACAAAACCTTTTCTTTTGAAAATAAAAAAAAACAAAAAACAGCTTCTCACACTCCATGCTAGAGAGCATAAAAATGTACTTTTCTTATTTTTGTTATCTTTTTTAAGATAACGGTGATGGGTATAAGAGAGTCGGCCACGACCGAATATAATTTTCCTATTTGTTAATACTTTTTTTCATTTTAATCTATTTACCTGTGCTTTCGTAGGATGAGCGCCGCCTTGAAACTCGATAGTACCGTAAGCGTCAGTCGGTTGGGCTCTTGTGTGCTTATGCGGCATCCAGACATCGCCGGGTGAGCCGCAATCAACGCCAGGTATCGTTTGATGTGTTTGCCTCGATTGGCCACAACAGCATCTGTAATAGAAAAGTAATGCAATGTATATTATAATGTTTTTCAATGACTTCCTTTATGGTAGTTTATCAAGTGAATGAAATATGACATGATTGCGCGATAATTGGTTGCCTGCTGTGAGTTTCTCACACGTACTTACATCTATCATAGTACTTCTCCCTGCACTTAGTAAATCGTAGCATAGACTATTATATTTTTAAAAATAGATTATTACTCGTCAGGCGAGGATAGACTTGTAGTGAATAATTGTTGGATACTGCACACGTCTTGAGAAATCTAATATATCCCGATCTTTCGAAGGTGGATCTATTATTATTATTATTCTTATTATTATTAATTTAGTCAGATAATAAAGTGTAAGACTAAAGTCTTAAAGTACTAACATCTATCAGCTATCGGTTTTATCGAAAACTCTACAGCACTTGAGATTTGAATCTACGGCCATTGAGCTGAGTTAGCCGAGACCCTTTACGTATTCGGCCAATCAGGCGGATTGAACTTTATCTCGAAATTTTTTTTAACACTTTCGCTGAATAAACTTCAGCTGGCTGGTAAAGTTCGCAAGGTTTCGAGGTTTTTATGGCTTTTAGTTCAAACCTTTATGAGCAGTGCCTTAAAGCAAGGTTTGTCCGGGCTTATCGAAAGTTCGTAGACAACCATGTACGTGCTTATGAATGCAACTCTCACTTTAACTTATCTTGAATGCGCTGCTAAAATGTTATTTGAAATATATACAGTCCGTAGGATGGGAATGATTAGAGCTTCACTCGTCTTTTTAATCAGATACCTTACGTGACTTAGTGTCGTGATTTGGCCCAAAGTAAATGTCACTTTCTCACTGTGCTGTCCGTTCCATTAATAACACCCGCCGGCTCAACTTGTCAGCCATGTAACAGAGTAAGGACTAGTGTGAGCAATTTTCTCTTAATGAACGGGTGCATGTTAAATTACTATGATTTAAATGACATCTCATAAACCGTCGCTTTCAAGCAGTACGTTAAGTGAATTTTACTTGTACCTAGTTCACGTTTACATCGCAGGGAAACGATGACTCAAAGGCTTGTAACTTACCCAATGGCTTAAATGCGGGAAAGAACAAATAACTTGAATTCGAACAGTTTTCTTCTAACAGCAAAGGCATTTTGCAATGAAGTATCCATGATTAAAATCTATAACTGCAGCTCTGACAAGGATAGCAAAGATGTTCTAAAATTGGTTGCATTAATTTTTTCCGCGCGGAAAGCTTAATGTAAATGGAAATTATGATGAAAAGTCAGTGAAGCCTTTGGAAACTTGGCCAACGTAACGAAAATTACCTACAGAGAGATTAAATATGTTGCTTTACCCGAAACATCAAACACTCTGCTGAAAAGTGGGCGGGCTTTGCCAATGGAGTGATTTTTAATAGTTTGTTATGCGGGAAATGAATAAATTTCTTTTAAGAAGAAACATAGCTAAAAGGACAAAACGACAGGCATAAGGCGAGAAGATTATGCCGCGAGCATAAAACCATAGTTCGGTGGAAGAGTTTTGATAGAAAAAGTTGTAAATAGTTTTAAAATACTTGCTTGACCTCTCATAATGTGACGAAAATAACAGAGGATGAATAATTTTGCATAGAAACGACATACAATACTGATGGACTTAAGTATTGCTTCAAGAAATTATGTTTTATTTTGAAATCTAAAATATTTTGTATTTTCATGGAATTTATATGAATTTTATAGTGAACGGAGAGGAAGCCATAAAACGTTATTTCTCATGAATAGTTAAATGGTTTTTAAAAGGATACTTGAAAGAAAAATGCACAAATGTTGAAGGAGAATACATTTACTTTAATTTTCAAAAATAGAGAATAGGAGACCACATTATTTATGAGATAGCCTAATGCTTAAATAGCAAACAAAAACTTATCAGGCAGATGTCTCGGTATCTGTTTGACAAAATTAATTTTAAGTTGTCACTTCATTATCTATCTCATAAATATTTCTCAGAGCAACTTAGTTTTCTATGCGCAAAACACATGTGCTTGTGGTCATATATAAATCTGATTAGTTGGAATATATAGATATATATATATATATATATATATATATATATATATATATATATGAATCATAAGGTAAACAAAATTATTTCGCTACATTAAAATTAATGAAACAAATGTACAAATATAATCGTGTTGTTAATTTAATGTAAAAATGCATTATAAGTGTAATTAATCATTCATGATATATGCAGTATATATATATATATATATATATATATATATAGTATATCACTTATGATATAATTCAAAATAAATTAAATAAAGTACTTAGATAAAATATTTATTTCTCTTATGCATTGATTCGAATATTTAGCAAAAGTCATTTATTTTAAAAAAGTGGACAGACAATTGAAGTAAGTTCTCTCATTTTTTTCATATCACATTTTCATATTACATTTTCATAATCCCAGAAAAAGCGTTTAGCGTAGTTTCCCGCCATTATCTGAATTTCATCGAATACTAGAGGAAAGACGCTCCAAAAATTCCCAAATAGGATAAAAGAGAAGAATGTTTAAATGTGAATCCTTCCCGTTGAGACGTTGAAAGTGACTTTCACAATGTCACTAGCTGCCAAGTAGAATTAGGAAAAGCAAGCTTTTACATCATGGGTTGAAAAGCGTTTTTTAAACGGTTAGCCGAAGCATTAAAAATATACTGAGCGTAGAAAAAACACCGCGATATGCAGAAAAGCTTGACAAAGGAGAAATTGATTCGAAGACATGCTCCCGAAAAGAACGCAAAACTCTCTAATCTCATGGATGAAGCTGTTTAGCACGCAAAGGGTTGTGGCCTTCGTACAAGGCTTCTTGTCATTGTTATCAATTTTGATCGCTTTTTGCCAATCGCTTCGCTCTGATCGATTTGGAGATATCAAAACATATTGCTCGATTCAAAGATTGACTCCTGCTTAGCATTCATTTCTTTTAAAATTAGAAGACTTTGGAAAGTTGTGACTCATAATAAAATAAAGTTATGAACAAGTCAAGTTCTTTATCCATATATTGTTTCCTTGTTTGCAAAATACTGCGAAGATCTATTGGCTTGATGACAACATCGTACAGCAGTACTCTGTAAGCTTATAAGGGCATGTTAAAGTCACGTTCATTTACCATGTTTCGCATCGACTTACTTAGTTTTCGCATGGACGGGATGTTTGGTAAAAATTTTATTTAACGCCACACGTAAACATTGAAGCTAGATTCTGAGCCTCCAGTCACAGTTTTGTCTTAACAATCAATGTGTTAATGGTGTTCGTAGACAAATTTACTTCATTTTTTACATTATCTTCACTAAACTGATCAGAAAAGCAGAATTCAGATTAGTTTGTTCTTCTAGGCATAGTCGGGATTTCAGCACACATATGTATGCAAGAAAAGAGGGAACCTGAATGCCTGATGTCTAGGTGTAATCATCTCATAACGTCTCTCATTTTCGTCCTATAGATAGGTTGCGAGTAAGTTCATTACAAGTCTAAACTAAGTTGTGGTGCGTCTAGAGTTATAGTTAGCTGAGGCTTAGTGTTTCGCGCGGATATGAACACTGAACAGCCGTCATTCAAAATGTGCAAAACTAGGTTATAAGTTGTTTTAAGCGAATAAAATGAAAAAATACAATCATTGTTGTAAAGAATGGAGGTTCGCATAATTTCTAAGCACGTGAATAAAGGGCCGAAATCGGCAAGAAAGCGGGATAAAAAAAGATATTTTGTAACGCGCTCGAACTTAAGTCAAGTTTTTATAATAAATTGAAGCAAGCGATGAATATGGACATGGAAGTTCGCCTCCCTATAAACGAGTATAACGAGAAGGAAATATGCTGAGAAGGAATTGCTGCAAAACTACATCAATATTTCGTTCCTTGTAAGGCGGAGAGAACGGGAGAATGGAGTTGTTTTAAGGTATACTCTCGAACGTCTTCTTTATCCGCGGAAGAATATCTAATACTTGGGCCAGAAAACTGCCAGGTGGCAGAGAGTGCTAGAGAGAGAGAGAGAGAGAGAGAGAGAGAGATAGAAATTTGAGGACGTATGGTTAGACTTCAACCCGACGGCTTACTTGCAAGATATTTAATTCAATATTTAATGGACATGGGTAAATCATTTCTGTTATCCATGCTGAACTGGAATTCTGCGGTCTTTAAGATATTCCTTTTTTAAAGATATCATTAAGATTCAGCCAACCCATGTTTGGTATCAAAATGATGAAAGCAATAAAAAAATCAAATTTTGCAATAAAGTTATATATGTTTTTGCATTTCCTTGGAGTTTTTAGAAGTTAGCTATACTTTTGCTGTTTTTCTTGTCTCGTCTTCTGTCGATTTACTCCTAGTCTCCTTGCCTAATAATTAAGCTAATAATTTAGTTTTGAATTTAGTTTTTGAATAGATTGATCCGTAAACTTGTATTTCCATGCTTGCTTCTAAATCTAAAAATGCTTGAAGTATGGCTTGTTGGTCAGTTCGTCCGTTCATCTTGAAATATGGTTTTTATATGCACCGCCGAAGGAGGAGGGGGTATATTGATTTTATCAAAACCTCTGCAGGATCCAGAAAAAACACCCCGAGTAAATAAAATAAAGTCCGCATCAAATGTCCAGGCATATCTATCCATTATCTGTCTGTATGTCAGTATATATAATTCTCACTTTTATTCTATAAAAACAAAAAAAAAATCAATCACGCCGAGCCAATAGTATATGAAAATTTAGTTTTTGTTCTTGTTTTTTTGAGTTTTTTTTCGAATTACGATGAAGGCCATAAAAGCTTCGATAGCAGCTGTGTACAATCTTCTTACTTGTTAAAAATTTAAATAAAAGTAACTCTGAATATAAAAAAAAAAGAAAGCAAACATTCGCAATATGTACTTACTTTGTGTCATCCTTAGGGCATGGAATGAATTTGATGCATTCACGTTTTTGAAAATTAGTTTCAATCCAACTGCGTGGTTGATGCTGCATGTGATTTATATTCCACATAATCAAGTAGGTTTTTTAAATTCAAAGCATCGCGCAATTTTCCGATAGAATAAGCAAAGTAAATAAAATAAAATGTTACTATTGATAATAAAGATTAAAAAAAAATAATAAAGGCAAAAAAAAAAAAAAAAAAAAAAATTAAAAAAAAAAAAACAAACCAAAAAAAAAAAAAAAAAATGATAAATCGATAGGGCAAAATGTATTCTTCTTTAATATAATATGAACTATATAATTCCATTAGAGAGCGTAGAAGACAAGAAGATATTTCTTTATTCAAAACGAATGCAAATAGAATTAATTTTTTTTTTTTTTTTTTTTGTTGGTTTGAAAGTCCTTCAAAAAGCATACAAATGAAGAATGAAGCATTTACATAAAGGTATTAAACAAAATTTACATACATACATATATATATATATATATATATATATATATATTTACATGTAAATACCAACGCACCAGAAAGAAAGAAAAAAAAAACGAAAAAGTTAGACGAAAATAAGGAGAAAATCATTACATAAGTGTAAGTAAAAAGAGGAGAAAATGAACCTAAAAAATTAAATAGAGAAGAATATCCAAATAACAATGAATAACGAACGAAAAGCTGAAATCGAGAAGAGTAGAATCAAAAATTTTGCAAAATTTTAACTTATATATAAAAATAAATTGAACAACTTGAACGAACCATCGCAAAGGATAATATTGTATATAAGAGTGAAAGTTGCTCATAGCTTTTGTGAATTTTTTTTTAATTTATTTTTTATGCTTATCAAATACAATTTTGTAGTTTTTATTTGTTTTTAAAGCAAAGGCAACTTAAGAAATACTAACATTGTTGTTGGATTTTGAGGTGGAAGCAATATCAGGCTTTAAGTACGAGTATCCATTATTGGCGGGTAAGGCAGAGTGTGGCAGAGGAAATGAAAGAAAGTTATAGACAACAAGTGCCATGTATACAAATATGCAAAAATACTTAATTGTGAATATACATAATTTAGTAAAGTGATATTAAATCAAGAAAAAATAAAAAAAAAATAAAAACAAAGAAAAGAAAACAAACGTAAGAGATCAAAACCTTGAAAAGCCCCCAAAATTTCAGAAATTTTCTATGTGTTTTTTTACTAATTTGTTTACGCTTAATGATATCGTTATCAAATAATTTTCAATTTCTATATAAATTATCGTTTAATGCAAGCTAATTAAAGTTTTGAAATTATCCTCATAAACTCGCAGAGACTATAAAATGCCATCAAACAATTTGGGGGGGAAAAGGCTTTCTATCAGCACCAATATTGTCAATTGTTTGATGCCAAAGTTAAACAGAAGGTATCTTACTCTTAAATGTCTATACTATAAAGGTATAGTTACATTAACAGCATTCCAAGCACCATATGCAAGCAAATTTTACAACTTGCAAGAGATTAGTAGTGGTGAACATATACGCATGCGAGCATAACAACCTGTACTTACAAGTCTACATTAGATTTTAATTCAGGAGAATCGAAGTAAAAGAAAAATTGTAATCCATTGTATCGGTTAAAACTCTTTAAACGGACAAGGCCAGTTGACAAGTATACTAGATCACTTTCTAACACATCACTAACTTTCATCACTAGCTTTCTAACTACATCACTTTCTTAACCTATCTTTGTATAAAATATTAAAAAATATATATATTCTTTTTATAAGAAAATTTTTATAGAGGAAGATGCTGATGGAAGTTCATTCACTCTAATGTCAAAAAGGGAATTACATGAGAGTTGGCAGCACATTGCTTTTGCCATTGGTATTTTGCCTTGGCAACTCTGTTAGTGGACTCACTTATTTTTGCTAGTCAGTAGCTAGAAGGAGGACATCAACGATTATCATCGTCAACTGGAAAGTGGGGAAAAAGCTTCCTTTACTCAATAAAGCATTTTATGTTTTCGGAAAATTTTAGAAAAAGCTTGCTTGAAAACTGCTATTCAAGAAACGGAAATCTGGGCAACGGATTTGTACGGATTCTCAAATTCGTAAAACTGCTTGTGGTTTAGTTGATACAAAATTTTTAAGAAAATATCGTTGCCAACCTAAATCATATTTTTACAAAAATTTCAATTTAGCGCGAGCTACGAACACTGTTTACTTACACTGCGTTATAAGTATATGATTTTATGATTCGTAGCGACCGATTAAGAATAGTTTTATAAACAACTATTTCGTACTTGAGATAAATAAATTCTCTGATTTCGCATTTTACTTGTTTCGATATTCAGTTATATGACATAACCCAAAAGTCCATGTGGGAATCATCAATTTGTCGCAACTCATTTTAAGCCGAACTCTCAAAAGAGCATTTTCGCAAAGTATGGCTTCAGTAATTCATTTTATATAAAAAAAAAAAAAACATCGATATGCGTATCTTGTAGTACTCCATCCCAGTATGTTATATATATGTATATAAAACACCTTTAAATAGCTTTAACTTTTTGTCATTTTTCGATTGTTAAAAATCAAGAATAATGATTAATATCTAAATATACAACATACATTTAAACATACAAATAGATTACGCTAAATATCTATAAATTTATCGTATTATTGTACAAAATATTTTATCAGCTAAAATTATTTAGTTATGAAATGATCTAATCTAAATTTTCACAACCGATCGTCGATCGCCATGTACATAATATTAATCCTACGCATATTATGAGTATTAATTTTTTCCAAAGCCGGGTCCAATCGCTTTAGGATGTAAAAACGAGGTCAACGAAAAGATCTTCAACAGTTCGGATCGGAAATCGGAATATATTCATGATGTCAAAACGTGTGAATGGCTCAGAAGAAAATATGTGCCTATATTCCTGATCAAATTCTAAATCGATTTAAGCATTTCCACATGTGTGCCTGCCCATCTGTGTAATGTCTGTTGTAAACTTGAAATGAAGCTGTCGACTTCAAATTTGGCGGAAACATTTGAAGTTCTTGCACACGGGTTGGTATTGAAAATGGGTCAAAACGGTGGAAGGACACGCCCTCAGCATTACTGTAAACTCAGAATTCCTCTGTTCTTCAAACCGACTGGAAAATTAGTTTTCTGTTCATTATTCATAAACTATAGGAGATAAATGTACATCAATCATACTCTATGGGTGATGCTGTAGCATTGTTGACCATGCTTACCTAGAATTAGAGTGTATCAAAATTTAATTTTTTTTCAATACCTTGTCGCAAAAACAAACTTCGAAAACCCCATAAAGTATATAAATTCATGGCCAGTTTCAAATTTCGAATATACCTAAACATATCCGTCTATTCCTTCTGTCCAACTATCTGTTTGCGCAACTGCGTGGTATTGGTGGTAAACATTCTCCCATTAGCACAAGTGAAGACTTCGCCTACTTAAACTTTTCCAAGGACACGTCCACACACCTATGCTTTTATTTTGAGAATGGAAAAAATCAGCTGCACCCACTCGATAGCAAGCCGTTCGCTTTTTCCTTTCGTTTTTAGGTTTTTTAATTGTAACCCTCAAATGCATTGTGATGTAGATCCACCTATCATGCCTTTAAAACCTCATATCCCTTTATGTAGCAACTTTTACTCGTTTCTTTATCTGCGACAATTTTCATTGCTGGCGCTCTAACTGACTAAAATATCATTCCATCGAATGTTTCTAAATATAATTGATTATGGGTATAAAAGGATTGGTAGGAAACATTGTTTTCGAATAGAAGAAAGATTGTTGTAACATTTGTATCCTGATGAATTTATGCAACACACAGTTTTTTGTGATGTAGAAATACTTCGGCATGCAAAATCCGTCCTACTGATCGCTAATCATTCTATGTTATTACTATTGCTACAACAATCCCACATTAAATGAGTTGAGTTTTGATGAAAACTCCAAAGTCCATTTTGTAGAAGACTAAGTTCCAAAAAATCCAAATCATAATCAGTTGTGACTCGCTGGTAAAAAGGTATAATACAGAATATTTGCAAAAAGCAAAAGTCAGTCAAGTCAAGAGAGACGAATAATTTTCGCACAATGTCTCAGACTCTACAAAATGAAAGTATCGAACAAATCCTGCCCGCTTTTTGGAAGGCAGCATAGAGAAAGGGAATGACGACGGGGATGGAATTTACGCAAGATTTAGAGAATCTATGCAAGACTTTACGGAAGAAGAGCACATGGTAGGGGGAACAAGAAATCGCTGTCGCGGATGAAGTTTAAAATAGCTTTAGAAATGAAAATTTAAATTAATTTAATAGGCGTGGCCTTATCTGAGAAAATATCACTTGTTTTATGAAGGCTCTAAAATATCCCCCGAATTAATAATATTAGTTCCGAATATAACCAATACGCCATACGAGATTTCATCCATTTTTTGCTCTTTGATTTTCTATAAAAAATTGCAGATGAAACTAATCTCTATATCATTCAAATAAAAAAATTCATTGGTATTTTGTTACTTATGTCGATTCAACATTTTCCTATTGTGTGTGCGTTCTTGTTGGAAAAATGGTTGTGGGGCACGGTGCAAGATTGTAATATGCATTTTGGAGGATTGAACTTGATCGATAGCTGCTTAGATTGCTTTCGTAGAAAAGTCAAAGTAGGTGAATGGTAACTCCGCTTGTTCTATCATCTCTTAGACCCTGCCGTAATAAATTCATGGATACCGGGTCCGACATGTTAAGTCAACCTATAATTTATGAATTGGTTTATATGCAATATTTCGCAGTTCATTATTATTCATATTGCACAATTTGCTAATCCCCTTTCCTCCTTTCTTTTCTTTTCGCTTTCTTTCTTTTTTTTTTTTTTTTTTTTTGCTAAGCTTGCAGTTTTAAGATGGTTGATGCGTGTGCATCGCGAATTTGTTATTTATCATGTTCTTTGTTCATTTTTCTTTTGTCACAATTTGTCGTTGTTCACAATGCCCGAACATCTTAATCGTGTTACACAAATAATCAGCGTGAACATGTTCAAAAATTGTCTGAGATAGTTGACAAATTGAGTAAATTACAACTGGTTACAGTTGACGAATTACTGGCCGTTATTTTGTTGTAAAGCGTCGTAAGCGATAATAGGAATCTTTAGAAGAGCCGTATAATCACAAAAGAAATTACCTGCTACAGAAATGCTAAAGGGAAGATTGATTGTTCGAAAAATTTGAAGTGAGAAAGTGCAATCTGAGTAGACAGAAACAGAAGTGAAAAATGACAAAAGTAACAAGGAAAACAAATAAAGATTCAATTTTAGTTGCCGTGCTGGCGGTAAAGTAGGACGTCGGACGAAAGAATGTAAGTCAAAATATTTAAATAATAGATAGATTAAGTCTGCACAATAAGCGAACTAATACTTAATATAAAGAATAGAGGCGAAAAGAACTAATGGTATCTCGGTTCAACATCATCTTCGCACACGTGCGTCAATAAAAACGCCTCTAGCGAAATACACGATGCAAAAATCAAGATATTGGCTGTAGCCGACGCAAAATGGCAAAGTTCAAAACAATCAATGGTATCTCGATTCAGCATCACTTTCCCACATAGGCGACGAAAACTCTATGGATATAAATGGCAAAATTTACAACAATCAATGGGCATGACTTGACATGAAAAAAAAGCATTACCTGTATCTGATTTACGGACCATTCTCCTATCGGTGCTTTCAAAAGAATAGAGCACTTATTATATGTGAAGAAAAGATACAGAATTTGTAGCAAGGGTTTACCGTGAGTTCCTGCCTGAAAGGCTTAACTCCACGGTGGCCCAAGCCACTTTAAGCGTACCCCCTGGCGAGTTAGACAATCCCCACATAGTAGGGGCCTAAACAACTCCAGAGTCCAGAACGCTTTATTGTGTATGGAACAAAAAACCCCACTCTGGTCAGTGGTGAGGCCTAGCTGCACTCAAATTGTTCCACTTTGGCTAGGAACTTGCCAACCACAACCACCACGAGTACTCACCGAAGGGCCGCACCCAAGCAGTCAGGACTCACAAATTGATCAACGATATGCGTTCAAAAAGGGTAAAAATTGCGCTCGCTTCCGCCATAAGGCTTCCACGGCGCCGTTGATCAATTACCACCATTACCCGCAGGCATGCGTGACATATGTTCAAAAGTAAAAGTAAGGCAAAAGGGGAAAAAGCCTTTCCGTCAAATCCCTTTTTTAATTTTTGCATGTATTAATTCTCAAGAGAGTTTATTAATTAATAGGCCAAAGGGAAGGCCATACATTAGTCTCTGCAAAAAGGTGGGGCGATTTATACTATGTTCACGAAAGAGAGGGCACAGCATCTAACGCAACATCCAAGAGAACGCAGCAGGGTTGTCTTGAAATATTTGTTCACCTAAATATAAAAAAACCTAAAAGCCATTATCAGAGCCATTAAAATAAATACTGACACGAAAAGTTCCTTGCAATAATGCGAAATTTGCGTACAGACGGCTGGAATCGATTACGACGAACCGTTGTCACTTGTAGCTAAGATCAGTTTTATACGTATGCCATTAAACGATATCGGCAGAAATGCAGTTAGATTTTGTAAGCACGCACTTAAACGGTGAAGCTGACTGCGAAGTCTACATGAAAATGCCCCCCCGATATGGAACGAATCGTAAGCATATTCCAAACTGCAGAGTTTCTTAACAAAGGCTACCTCTTAAGGAAAGCCATATGCTGCCTGAAACAATCCGGAAGGCTATCTTACAAGAAACTAGACGAGAATTTAAGGAAACTGACTGTGCCGCCGTCCAAATGTGACAAATGCTTCTACATATATTAAAATATCAGAATTATATCGATCTATGTACGTGAAATGGAAGATTTAAGTTCAATGAAACGCTGCTTGAAAATTCAACATGATTTGGAGCTATATAAAGGTGGTATGTGGCAATTGAAAGACAAAACCGAAAGGCATGAAAGTGCCAAACCAGGGCATTGAATTGATTCATTGATGTATCTAGCTATATCCTCGGTCTCATTGTGCCTCTCTCTTATAGTAAGCGCACTAAATTAATATAATGATTGGTTAAGGAAAACCACAATAGGCACCGAAAAACGAGTCTTCGGATGTTTCGAACGCCCATAAGACATTGGGCTAATATTTGCCAAGTCCAACAAATCGCTCGACGGCACAGACGCAGACTGGCCAGCAGGTATACATGATTGCAAATTTTACGCAGATAGCACATTTAAATACGGCAGTGCCATATGAGTCTGTTACGAGTCCACCAAAAACAGTAGGCTTTTCCATATGCCATGCACTTAAGAAAGAGACCTAGTCGCAACCAAAAAATAAGGTCCGAATTTCCAATGGCAACAAAAGTTCTAAAAAATGATGCAGAAATCCAATCTTTGACAACAGAGTAAAACATATCTACACAAGATTCCATTTTATGAGAGACGGGATGGATGGAGGCAGAGTAAACATCAATTACTTAAGGATGGAAGCCATGCTTGCAGAGTTCCTGCAACCAAACACTGCGATTGTATGCAAACTCAGGCGCTTATAGACACAAGAACAAACACATTTAATTGCACGTGTTAAATAACATATTTTATATATACTAGACTTTAAGGTGCGGTGTTGAGTATGTAAATACAACATATGTTGCTTCCTCTCTTGTTGTAAATTATATTGTAGTGTGAATGCTTTACTCATATGCAGTTAAAAATTAACCTCAAATAGAACATTGCCAAGTCTCTTCAAACCTAAAAGGCAGAACGTAAAACCTAAAAGTGTTGTAGCACTTTAATGTGCAGGAAGGAGTTTGAGGAGTATTTCATGCAATAGAGCACCTATTTGGGAACTCTCCCAAAATTGTTTAACATAATTGCTCAGTTTCGTTTTTTTATTTTTAACGAATTTTATGAATGTTATCGTAAAACTTAATTCCGGGCTTGCGTCAAAGTTGATCATCTTCAACGCGAAAGTTTGTTTATTATACTTTGGTATTATACCCATCACCCAAGCATGAGGGTGGTATATACATTATATACATGCTGTCAAAACGTTAGTAACGCCCAGAAGGAAGCTTCAGAGACCCTATAACTTTTTCAATTCCTAAATCGATTTAAGTATGTCTCTCTGTCCGTCTGGGTAATGTGTGCTGTAAACATTCCTCTGGTCGGAAAAATTAAGCTATCGGTTTCGAAGACTCATTGGAAGTTCTTGCACGCAACTTGGTATTAAAAATGTGCCAAATCGGTTGAAGGACAATGCTCCAGGACCACGTAAACTGAGAACAACTCTGTTTTTCAAAAGGAATGAAAAATTTATTTTTTGCTCATTACTCATAAACATGCATTCGTGCAGAAAAATGGAAAGAATTGACCACGCCTACTCATTATTATAACGTATCGAAATTTAATTGTTTTTTTCAATATATCTTTATAACGCACAGAAACATGTTTCAAAAAGTCCAGTTTCAAATTTGGAAACACACCTAACCATATCCGCCTGTTCGTCTGTCCATCTGTCTGTTTGCGCAAACCTTATAGTACCTGTGGTAAACATTCTCCCGAGCGAAAATGCTCGCCTAATACCGCCTAAAAATTTGCAAAAAAATTTGGAATTGAGCTAAACTTTTCAAAGGATACGCCTACAACCCCCGGTATGCCTGTACGACAATAACTTTTAGTTTGAAAAGAGAAGAAATCAACCGCGCCCACTCTATATTAAAGAGCACGAAAATGATGTTCTTTTACTTCGCTTGCCTTTCTTAGTTTAAAGGTCACGGCCATAAAAGATTCGGTTCGGATCGAATTTCACTTTGTTACTTGTTAACTTGCTCTTTGTACTTAAGTTTTGCTAAGCTAATGCTACAGCAATGTTTATAATAAGATGAACAAACAGACGCTAAGCTAATTATGTTATAAGTTTTCAAGTTATCTTTTTAAGAAGGACTAACTGACTGACTGACTGACTGACTGATTTAATGTCTCTCTCGATTTTTAAATAAAAGATTGTAAAATTTAACGAAATATCTCTTTTAAATGTGTATGTAAAACATACCTGTCGCTCACTGGGATCAGGTGTACGCAATAAGTCACGGACATTAAGTATAAGAACTCGGGTTAAAGTTGACGAAATTGACGAGCGCTTGCGAGCATATTTCCGTGAAGGTAAATCACCATTTGTGGAATGTTTACGTGATAACGATGGCGAATTTTTTATATCCGAATTTATTACACTTATCCGACGTACCGTACATATATCTTTCGATATTCGACGCATATATTTCTTTGATGCAAATTGTGATGACTCAACGACCATGATTTATTCATATATAATTAATTTTCATTAAATTAATGAATTTAATAATAGTTTTTTAAAACATTTTTTCTTTATCGCACTTTTACGCACATATCGACCGGTATAGTCAAGCTTAAAGGTTTTTCTTCTTTTTTTTTTTTTTTATTAGAATTAACAGAAAGGCTTTAAAACATTGAAATTGTTAGACATCCGAGCCACCTGGCTATGTGATTGAGTATCTACGGCAAGTATATTAATAAAGTAAAAGCGAACAATGTTGAACTCTCTAAAATTGTATATATTTTGTCTACGGCACCTAAACGATAGCGGATGTCGACACTACTACTGTAAACACACGACTTACGAAATAGAACAAAACTTAAACTGAACAACAAATCTCATATATATATCAACCAATGTCATCGCAAAAAAATGCACATATAAAAAAACTACTTCACCACTGATAACAGTTGCTTTGCATGCTATGACACCACATAAGCTGTCTATCCGTGTTTATCTCTTAACTGTCTTAACGCATCTGCCATCAATGCCTGCTCACCATCATAACAATATAAATATTTTTATATTATTTCTACTGCTACGAGAAGTGCAAAAAAAAAATAAAAATAAAACAGGAGAAGGAGGGCAAAAATAGGAATCTATTTTTTAAGTGCATAAAATTCATATGACGACGAAAGTTTCTCTATCTACATATGAGGAGTAAATCACCGCGAAAAGTTCATTTTCAACAGAATATTTTAATGCAATCCCTTTTTTTTTGTTGGCTGCAATGGCTGCAGCTCATGTCCGATTTGGCACCAAATTGGATTAACATATTTGCAGAAAATCATGGGAAGCTTTTTGTTTCTTTCTTCGGAGTCACAATTTTTTGCCATTGATTTTGTATGGCAGAAAAACAAATACGTCAAAAATGTTGAAGTTCCGATCAGGAGAATTTTCCTTACCTTGATAACGGGTGCCAGTCTTTCGATTCAAGGATACTACTTCGCTCTTGATTGTGGAAGAATCCCTTAAAAAGTTATTTGCTTGCCATCGCGCCCGGCACATATTAAAGTTTGCTTTCAATTAAAGCCTTTGGAGAAGATTCTGCGCTTTAAACTATTGATTGAATTGTAAACCGGATGTGTTTCAATTTTTGAGGTTAGGCAAATCCATGCAGAGTATTCAATAGTAAGGAAATTTTTGATGACTTTGAGTTCAGTATTAAAAGATCTTTTGATGCTTTCATCCAATTTTCTCCCATCCATTCTAGTTTTCGAAGTATGGACGCCCTTAACATATTTTTAGCACCTAATGTCAATTTATTGATGGTATGGACAAATGAGTTAAGCGACTAAGATCGGTTTTGGATTGATGGCTATGCGAAATAATTGCGTCAAACCTTTTAAGATCACTTCTCCTATAGGTTGACTGTTTTTGACGGAAATTCTTCAATATTGCTCCTGTTTTTTCACTTATTGAGAACCGACCAGAAGACGCTCGTTTTTACTTAGATTTTAGAAAGGTCTTCATTCTTCTGGCCTCTGCGACTTTGGGAACCCTAGAGAAACAACTAAAAACTCTATAACAGGCCGCGGCCTATCATTAAATAGCATACACCACCCTACAGTTATTTATATAACGACTTCTCGAAATAAGGTTTTACATGGGAAGTAATCGAAAAACTTGTCCAATCCGATCCGTTCTCAAGACCACAAGTTCGTGGGCGAAAATAAGTCCGTATATCAAATTTCATCAGAATATGGACAAAATTGTGTTCGCACACACGGCAACAACACGGACAGACAAGTTTAATTGATTCAAATTGGCATAATAAAAGGTGGACCTATCATACCCTTTATATGATAAGCGATGTGGGGTGTAATAGTGATAAATTGGTTCTAGAAATAAGTCTAAGCAAAACGTTAAGTGTATTAAAGTGTGAAATTGTTTATATTTATTCTCTTATTACACTGTTAATAGTAATTATCCCCATATTCAGTGGATTGTAAATAAAGTTGCAATGCAAGTAAATGTCAGAAATTAATGTTAATTGACCGAAAACTAGGTAAACAATCCATAAGAAACCTTCCAATATTTCTCTCTTCTGATTTTATTCTTCTCCAACCTCATATTATATAACATTCACTTTGCTATCTCTTTTCTCCCTTCTTCCTGACCATGTTACACGGGACATCTCCTAAACGATTGCTTAAATTTAAAAAAAAAAATGTTTTAAATTTTTGGCTTAAATAAACGCAAGTTAATAATGTCGTTGGAGAAACCATCAATCAGCACAATCAAAATTTCGTGATTCTCCCAGCTATGAAAATCGAACATGATAAAATGAAGCGTAACAAAGTGGCAAAGTGGTTTTCAGAGGGAAACGTAAATACAAACATGTTTCTGTTATGTTATTACTGAAGCATTACGAAACGAAGGAAATCCAATGTGTATCTCAAGTAAGTGTCATCTAAAACAAATAGAAGTAAATTGCTGTAGGATGTAAACAGAGATAAACAGAAGTAAACACTTGGATTTTGTTTCATTCGTAAGAGGATCAACAGGGTATTTGATGACCTTTTTTTAAAAGATTACATTTGAAATTTCTAAAGATTATCTAAGAGGACGAGTTGCTTAGAGTCAGTCGAAGTAAAGCTTTGCTAATTGCGATCATTACGAAATCCGTCAAATTTTTCCTTTTTTTTTTCTCCAATGATTGGTCAGGATTTTCAAAAAAAAAAAAAAACTGCATCCATCTTGCCGAAATTTTGCCCTTTTCTTCTAGATAGATTCGGCTTAAGACTGACTAGAGATTGTTTCTTTTATTTAACCAAAACTCATTTTACATGGCATTGATTGCATAGAGCAAACTTTTACTTTTTCCTAAGGAAATTTTATCTGAAATTTCCTTTATAATGGTTATTATAATATTCTTTAAATGTTTCTTTCTGTTTTGTACGCTTACAAGTCTAAATAAAATAATTCTTTCATTAAATAAAAACAACATTTGAAGAACTCTTTCTTTATACCTTTCTTTATTCTTCTAACTTCTAAGATAAGCAAAACCGCTTTTAAAATTGACTTATATACTGCGTTAAGTACTACTTAACGCTACTTCATCAATAAGAGAAGAAAGAAGTTCAAAACGGGACTTTAACGCGCGTCTTATTAGCCATCAATATTCAGAAGATCAATCTTTTCCCTTGACTTCGTAATCAAAAATCTTATGAAAGGGAAAATTTGAAAAGGTAAAAATCTTTTTGTTTTTTGAACAGACTTGTCCGGGTATGCTTAAAACTTTAATTGTCATTTCTTGTAGTTGGCAACTCTGTTTTCTCACTATACATATACTCTATATACTCACTTTTCTTCTCTACTCTTTAAGCAAATCTTTATTTTCTTAAAGAAAAATCAGACGATTGTCGTTTGTTAAGTTAAATAGCAACAGCTCAAATCTCCCAGAATGGCTTCAACGCTTTGGACACTTTAACAAAGAGCTCTGGCATGAAATTCAACCTGAATAATGAAAAAGTCTCAACATGCGACGTAAGCACTAAAGGTAAACATGCATGAAATGGATTTTAAACACAAATCCTTATTCACAGCGACACGTGGGGACCCATGGTGGATCTCGATGTTTTCTGCCTTTATTGACGATTGCACAAATTATATAGTGTTACTCCCCCGTAATCACAAGATCTTTACAACATTCTTCTGAAAGTTCACGGCTTTAGCATATGAGTTCCAAATCATTTACGCGTTTTAATACCGTTCACTTAACTTCTTAACAATGTTGTTGTGAAATGAGAGACTTTGGAAAAACTCATAGCGGAAGCATAAAGTGATTTTCAAACTTAAGCGTGTAAATGAAATCACGTAGATCGTTTCAATAAAGTGTTTTTAATTTTTGCCATTAATTGTTTCACAAAAAAAAAAAAAAAAAAACACATGACCAACGCTTGAATCGTCCTTTATGAAATGTTATTATAATTTTCTAACTGTCCCCCATGAGTACCTATTACAATATGGTGGTTATTAACAACCTTATAAATTAAATTCGTTGGTTTACTCGTTGCTGGCTGGCACTAGCAAAAGGTCAAACCGCACTATTTACGAACACAATATGTGATAATTGAACATTAAAGTCAATAACAGCAATTATGGGATGTGCATGCGACAGTAAGCATTCAACAGCATAAAGCACTTTTTTCATTTTCGTGAAGTCTTTTACATTAAGTCTGTGAGTTAGAGCGAATCTCTAGGTATTTGGATGTTTAACGAATCAAAAACAAACTTATATCTAATTTAGGCTACATTTTTCGGCACTCATAACGTGAATGATATTTGAAAGGAAGACAAGACAATCTTTACGTTCGACATATTTCCTGCAAAGCTCATTATTTATTTTTTGAACTCAATTTTTTTATGCCAATTGACGTCATCGAAAAGACTATCTAATAAAATATATACGATATTTACTCACTCTGACCCATTCATGCCTGGCCTTAGTCCAGTTTAGGCGATTTCCAAACTTGAGACCAATCGACTATTAACGATTTCCTGAAAGGTTACGAAGCTACCTTTCAAAAATCATTAATGGTAGATAGAAGAGCGAAATTTTTGTATTCATCCCAGGGATTTAGATTTGGCATTGCTCACTTCGAACAGTGAAAGTCCATGAAACAAGTCAATTCGTCTTGCGCTTACAATTACCGAAAAACTGATCATTTTCTCATTTCTTTGAAGGTTTTTTAAGACGGTCTTATGTTTCTTGTTAGAAAAATTCTCGTCTCACCCGTCTAATGGGATGAAGGGTTCCTCCGCCACCATTATCCATAAAGAATATATGAAACTTGGCAATACGTGATTCTCAGTTCGTATAACTAACTCCTTACAATGTGCTAACAAAATGTGTGAAAATATGACTTGGAGTAAAAAAGACACATAAATTGGGCAAATAAATCTCCGGGTAATCTTGTAATCAAATATCGTATATTAACTTGTAGTGCGTATTAAAAAAGTCTCTCTGCTTTGTTTTACCTAATTTGCAAATAAATTTCAAAAAAGTTTTTTTTTTTTTTTGAAATTTCTAATTTCCCAGAGGTAGGGCTTAGAATTTTAATTGTTCTTTATATCATACGTATGCATACATACGTGTGCATATACATTATAAATATAGTCTATGTTAACAAACAAAGGGTATGCCCGTCACAAAATACTAACTTTCATAAATTGA